ATGTGAACAAGTTTATTCCAGTATCTGTATACGATGGTTCAAAGCGTCACAAACAACAATTTGGCCATTGCTGAGAACTGCTAAAAAGGTTGGAGTATTGAACTCTCCTAAATTGGCACCCTTTTTTCCAAACTTGCCGAGAAACTTTCCATTCAGCTCAAACACTTGTATTCTATGGTTTTTTTCTTCACCGACCATCAAATGACCTGATTTGTTCACCAACAAACCACTGGGACCATTTAACTCCCCGTCCCCTCCACCCTTCTTTCCAAACTTGTACTGAAAGTTTCCTTTCCTGTCAAAAACTTTGATACAATGTTCACTATAGTCTGACACTATGAGATATCTTTCATATTGAATACAGTGGACAGGATTAGTCAAAGAGCCCTGCTCTCCTATCTTCGTTAGAAAATTGCCATCAGGAGAAAATATCTTAATCAGTCTGTTACCTGAATCAGCGACAATGATATTCCCATCACTGTCTACCGATAAACCACAGGGACTAATGAGCTGACTATCAAGGCTTCCTCTCCCACCAAAGGATCCCACATACTCACCCTTCCCTTTGAAAATCTGGATTCTACAGTTCCCATTGTTTGCCACGAAAATATTCCCATTATTATGATATGTTATTCCGACAGGAAAATTAAATTCTCCCTCTTTGGTAGCAGACCGACCGAGCAATCTTAAGTAATTTCCTTCACTGTTAAAAATTTGGACTCTGTGGTTGCTATAATCAGTTACAGCTATCTCATCCTTAGCATTTACTGCTACCCCCCAAGGAAAACTAAACATTCCCTCAGAGGAGCCCTCTTTCCCGAAGGAAAGTACAGGTTTAAACTGAAATGGTGTTACCTGCACAGCAAAAGGACTGTCACGGACATGTTCTCCGTTTACCTTTACAGTCACTTGACATTTTCCTGGATCTCTGGGACAATATCTGACCTGATAGAGTCCATCTTTACAGTCATTTATTTGTATTTCTGACGTGCATTCTCGTCCTTGTTCGTCCCTGATCTCCACCGTTACATGGTCACGTTCATCATAACACTGTCTTCCTTCGGTGTCCTTGGTTGTCAAGGTAAAGTGAGCTTCACGGAGAGCAATTCCTTCCTCCAGTCCTTTGCCTTCAATATCACAATGACCTGCTTTTGTTGGTTTTTTCAAAGTTCCAATTTGTTCGGTTTTGATAGTGTTGAACAACTTATAATTTTCCACGAAGACAAAATGAGCAACAAGTTCGGGGTCACAGTCGGTTGGCTCGATTTGATGAACTCCTTCAAAGATGGTGTCTGATGATTTCTTTAGTTGAACGATTTCAGCGTTTGTACTTCGGGTTAAAAGTTTGTCAGCCTTCTCCAGAGATGATTTTATGGCCGTCATTTGACGCTCGATCTCGGTCTTTCGCCTTGTTATGCTTTCAATTGACTTTCTTGTTTCTTTCTCCACCTCTGCGAATATGTTTTTCTTGTTTGCTTCAATGACTGCAATTAAATTGTCAACAAATGTTTGAATCTCTCTCTTCACATCTTCGCCTTGTTGTATCAGTGTGGCACATTCTCCATCAAGTCGGCTCACGGCATTCATCTTTGCTCGTAAATTGTGTCGCTGTTTTTCAATAAAAGACTTCATTTCAGTCCTTTGTCTCTCCGCTTCTTCTTTGATTAACTTCATATTATGACCTCCATGATCCAATGTGACACATATTTGGCAAAGTGGCGTTTCACAGTCTTTGCAAAAATACTTTAGCTCTTCTTTGTTATGATCTTCCTTAGGACAGAAAACCGGTCGTTTCATCACATCTTCATAGTCCTTGTCTTGAAAGTCTTTGAGCGCTAGAACACGATGATCTTTATTGCTGCGAATGATGTTGTGTCCAATGATGCACTCGTCACACCAAAACACGCAACAATGAAAACAATAGGAACTCTCGGCGCTTTTCTTGTCGCAATTTCCACATCGTACTTGGCTGGTTTTGCACTCTTTAATTGCTAGCACATCAATCAAGCCGTTCAGATAAAAGCTGGTAGGAAGATCTTTCAAATCGCCACTATCAGGCACTCTGCTAATAGCTTGACACTTCGGGCATCTGATTGTGTCTCGGCCATGGCTTGTTCTGTGCCAGTGTTTCAAGCAGTGCAGACAAAACGTGTGTAGACATGGAAGGTGCTTTGGATCAGTGTACACGTTAGTACACACTGGGCACGAAACTTCCTCGCGAAGATTGTGAAGCAACGTTTTGATATCCATGTGCTTTTCACTAAGAACTGAACATACGCTCGAGCATATCAGCTTTTCTCGGAATTGAAATCGAAACAATGATTCCTTGTGACTTTTTTTTTGTAGCTATTCTTGGAATCAATTATTTGTTATGACAGCAGGGTTTGTGTATAAACCAATCAGAAAACTTTCTTAAGACAAGAAACACTTTAATCGAGGATTCCTTGGATTCCTGGCTCTCTGAAATGTGAAAACTGACTCGCCCGATGTTGTTCGGCTCGAAGATGTCACGAAAAACGAGGAGATCACTGGAAGGAGACAACGAATGGACATTTCACAAAGGAGGATTTTGAAGAGTCTGCGGGAGCACCCTTCTTGGAAAGTTTTCTCTGTCCTTTGTTGACCGTAGATTTGATTGTGCTACGGTCTTAAATAAAATATATTTTTAAACCTGGATCTACAGCATAATAAGAGAAAGAAACTTGGTAAACACACACCTCGCATGGCCCCACGCGTGACCTGATCAGACTCGCAAACACCCATCTCGCATGGCTCCTTGCGTGACCTGATCAGACTCGCACACACCCACCTCGCATGGCTCCTTGCGTGACCTTATCAGACTCGCACACACCCACCTCGCATGGTTCTACGCGTGACCTGATCAGACTTGCACACACCCACCAAGCGTGACGTCGCACATCCAACATTGCAGCACGCTAAGAGTTCCTCTTTCAAAACAGGCAATAATCCTTTTCGATTTTTTTTCTCTCACTAAATACTTCTTTTTCAATCGTGCCCACGATTTTTAACTTTTAAGATCATTTTTTGATAAGTTAACGATAACTTGTTTCACCAGTTAAGGTCTCTTACAAAGTTTATTCACAATGAAATACTTCTAATATTCCCCTTTAAAAGGCTGAAAACTGCCAAAGAAAATTTGTATGAAGGAGGCTTAGGATATTTTGTACTGCAGGCAATCAGATCACACTGATCAGGATTCGCTTTATTGATTTCTCCCGGTTGTAAAGTTTGCTACAACAGATGGAGTGTATTCCAGCAAAGGAATGCGGTATTTCAAGGACAAGGCCACCACTTTAGGTCTAAGCTTCCAGAAGGTTTTACAGTTTTATTGACATCGCTTTCACAAGCGCGACGTTCTGCGGTCAATGATAAGCAGAAGGCTTCGGTGATCAAACGTGAACTCATAACCTAGGTCCAGACCAGGTGTAAGGGAGCTAGAAATACACGACACGCGTGCTTCCTCGCGTGGCGTATTGCGTGACCTAATCAAACTTGTAGACCTCCGTGCCAACGCCTTTTTCTAGGATTTTCTTTCGTATAGAGAATATCGTCGGTTAGAATGACCGAGAACAATATATGTGTTTCTCGATAGTTTGATCTAAGCTTTTCAGTGGCATCTTAAGATTCAAGTAGTTTGTCAAATTTATATGAGGTAAAAAATTTAATGATTAACCTCTAAAATACACAAAGCGGTTGGCATCTTACGATAATCGCACAAAGAACTAAAAAAGGCCATTTGATTTCACGGTTGTGTTAGCTCGCATAATAGACGTATAAAGTCTCGAAGAGGGACTCAGATATCTCCTCCCGGGGTGTCGGGCAGGGGGTCTGTCAAAACCCTCCTTTCCTATCAACCAATAGGTTGTGATCAGACCCAGTCTCTGTAGAAAAACAACAAGTTCGGGCTGACTTCAGATTGTAGCACACACCCTTCTGCAGAAGTGACAAGTAACATCAAGTGTCGTTCCTGATAACTGTCCCATTTGCTCTGCCTAAATAATTATCATAGTTTCCCCTAAACTATCTCGTGGGAGAGTTCGTTTTGGCTTTTTCTGTACTTATACCTCGCATTTTGAGCGACAAAACATGTCCCTTTCGCTTTCCCAAGCAAAGGCGTCCAAATGCACAACTGGAGGTATCACCAAGCGTTTACACGATTCAACAGGGCGGCATAAACCAAAATCCCAATTTTTCCATTTCTCAGTCCATAAATGCATTGTTTCCATTGTTACCAACAATTTTGACTGAAAAGATAATTTTTGATGATTTCACGACAACTTGTACCATTGGTGGAGGTTTTCTTGAAGTTTTGTGCTATTTTGTAATGTGGTGTCACCATGTACTAGGCAGGCATTGGTCATTTCCTTTCAGTGGTTTCTGAAAGGTAGGAACTTTACAAATGGAAACACTGAGATTTTATACGGCAGGTAATCAGAACATACTGATCAGGATTCGCTATAATTCGCTCGGTTGTTGAGCTTGCTGCATGAAACTAAAAAAGTTGACTCAGGAGAGTAATGCGGTGTTTCAAAAACAAGGCTACTATTTCAGCTCTAAGCAGCTTCTTTGAGAAGGTTTTATTGGTTTAATTACATAGTTTTTACAAGTGTGATGTTATACGATCAAACGTGAACCCAAAACTTATATCCGGGTAGGGTGAAGAGGGAGGAAGAAAGACACGGAACACGCTAAGCGTGGCGCCCCGCCTCGCGACTAGATCAAAATCGTAGGCCTTTCCACCAATGCCCTCTTGAAGAATTTCCCTTACTTGTAAAGAATATTTTCAGTTAGAACAGCCGAGAAAATATGTTTCTTGATAGTTTGCTCTAAGCTGAGCAGTGCCATCTTAAGATTTATGTCATTTGTTAAATTTCTATCAGGCAAGGAATTAATTTTTATCTCTTAAATACACAAGGCAATTGGCATCTTACAATAATCGCAGAAAGAAAACTGAATAGGTTCATTTGATTTCTCGGCTCTTAGCTTGCATAATATACGTCTAAAGTCTCAAAGAGTGGCTCAGATATCTCCTCAGGGGGGTCGGGCAGGGGTTTGTCAAAACCCTCCTTCCCTATCAGCCAATATGTTGTGACTAGACCCAGTCTCTGTAGAACACAATGAAACGAGGTTAAATCTAGTTAATTTAAACTAATTTAAGAGTTCAGCACATCCCTTTTTACATTATTAAGTTATGATTGTTGATAATAACTACTCCACTTACGCTGCCGAAAAAGATTTCCCTAATTGATAATGTGATAATTTCCCTTAACGCCCTCGTAAGAGTTTTCCTTTAGAGTTTGCTTTCTACATACTTTGCATTTGGAGCGATAAAAATATTTCTTTTCTCCGCACTTAGGGAACGTTCCCGTTGGCTATTGCAAGTACAATGCGTTCATTTGTCTTTATGAGTCCAGGAAACAAATTGATGTATTTAAGCTTCTTTTCAGCGCCGTTAAGTCATTGTACGATCACCAACGTCTTCGAAAGAAACGCCATGAACAGCATGTGACCAGGCCGTCATTATTAGCCCTTCAGTACGAGCGAAAAATTTTGATGCCTTGAGGTCCTTGAGCAACGCGAGCCGGTAAGAGGTCTGTAATTGTAAGTTGTCTGGTGCTGATTAGTGTTAGTTCCCTTGCAGAATTCTCACTGACCTCAAACTTTCTCGCGGGCGAAGAAACGCTCGTGCCACAACGCTGATAATAATAAGGGCCTGGTGACAAGCTACGCCAGGAAGATTCAGGGATACTTAAGGATTATCTAATCGAATGCGCACATGCGCACATGCGCACAGCCTCTACAAAATGTTATTTTCTCACCTTAATCTGTGCCTGGCCTTTCTCCTGGAGATGATAGCCTCCAAGCTCCACCAATTTGGCGCGGGACTCTCGGCTGACGTGGATACGATGAGCTGGCGAAGCAACAGAGGCCTTATAATAAATCCTCAGGGTTTTATCAAGAACTCCTTTATGAATTCTGTGCTCTACCTTCCCCAATCGACAAATTTGTTTGAAAAGGAAATCGGAAAAAAATTTTAGACAGGTTATCTGACAACTAAATTGTATTACTGATTTAAATTCACATTTTCGATTTTATATGTTAGAGTGGGGTTGGGAATTTATTTTCAACCAAAAAAGAAATCGTTTTTACGCTATTGACTAGCCCCCACATTGTTTGGAAATGTTTGGGCTTGGAAAAATACTTGCAAGCGAGTGCGCACATCTTAGCAGGCCTTCATACTTAGCTAACAGGCTTTATACTTAGCTACCAGGCCTTTATAGCTGTTAGGTCTTCATTCGTAGCACAAATCAAAGTCAGTTATTCTTTGAAACTAAAGCAGGACAACAGAGCACTTACGAAAGCCACTGCTCTCCATCTTGGATGCGATATGAACAGTATGGCCGTACAGACAAAAACGGGGCATTGTGACGCCAACTACACCAGCAACAACAGGACCTGAGGGTCAGTACAGCACAATATATAAGAATACATTACACTTATGGAACGGCTATGGAGCCTTTAAATCTTCTTCACAACGTTTACTTGAACATGGTTAACAACTGAACATTCTTATCAGCCAAGGCCTTGTAGCCTTGTTGCCCTAACTGATAAGAGAGTTCTCTAACCTCCATCCTTAATTCGAATTTTCTATTCCTTTGGAATAAAATGCTAATCAAGCGCATGTTTCCTTCTTCCCCTCCCCCTTCCCCCCCTGGATTTCGAAAAGTCACCTTGGCGGTTTGTTTTTACCAGCTTATGTTCCTGTACCCGTTTAATTTATTCAAAGGACGGAAAACACCATCCGCTGGAAAAATCTCTATCCAGTAGATTTTCGCTGTATAGCAATGTATCTGTTCGATGACGTTATCCGCCCTTTGAATAACTGGGCCTTGTATAAAAATAGGTACTGTGAGAGAGAAGTGCCTCGCCCAGGAACTCAACACGATGGTTTCGACGAAAGTTCAATCCTTGAACTTTTTATCCGGGGTCCTGTGGTTTTGCCTGTACGGCCAGGTTACTGAGTAGTTTCAAAGATGGCGGCGATCATAGTCCAAGCTACCTGTGTGTATTCCAATTCTGAGTTGAAGCTGATGATCTGGAAGATGACGGACACGAAAGAAAAACATGTGACTTAGAAGCTCCAAAGCCATGCTCGCGATCTCTCCAGCGTGTTTGTTGCCGTTCAACTTGGGACATCCGCTAACCACGACGTATGCATCACCGACAGTCTCGACCTGAAAAGAACGTTATTGTCACAAGGGTTCTTGCCGAACAAATTGGTCCTCAGACCTTGCAAGAGGACGATCGCGTCAACTTTAGCAAAACTGTAATAAAATAGTGCTAATCATAGAGAAAATTGTCAGATTTTCCCTTTGTTCAGCGCTCCTAAGAAAACGAATAACATCTTTCTTTACACAACGAGCGCGTTCAAACTTTACCATCTCCATTTATAATTGAAATTTCTGACTCCAGCAGTTTGCAAGATGGATTTGACCTATGAGCCTCGTAATGGTGGGATTTACCAGAAGGCCTGGAGCTGATAAGAGCTTTGTCCCACACCAGGCTCTCACTTGACTCTGGCGTGCTCGTGCCTCTTCTGCTTTGTAACCAAGTTGAAGGTGTATGATTGTAAATTTTTTGTTTGTCTTGTCTTGAAAAATACGAAGGAGGGAATGCATGGCATTTCAAAAGCACTCAGCACTTACCTTGTAAACGTCAAATCGTGTGATTATCTCGTCAAAAGCGACGTTGAGATCGTTCAGGAAATCTACAATCTACATTCGAAGGAGGACATGGTAGATGATAAGCTTCATTATTATATGGCAAGAAGGGCTTGGGGAAATCTGGGCGTTCTGGTTGGTTGTTACTAGGTTGGTATTTTGCCTAACGGACTGTTTCCACGAAACATCGCGTACTGCCACGACCTAGGGCAAATATTACCCACTGCGACCCTTATACTCGATGAATAAAAAGTTAATTCGATTTCATTGCCAAGATGGGCTTGCCAAAGGGAAATCTTTTCCAGACTGATTGCACGAGTGTAATTTTAGCTTAACTTAGCGTAGTTCGTATACACTGCTCATCGTTTTATACCTCTAGTGGTTTGCTGAGAGACGCCAGCTTAGTGAATCCCACAACGTCACTAAAGAATATGGTGACTTCTTCAAACTCCTGAGCTTGGACTGAGCTGCGTGTCTTCAATTGTTCGGCGACCATCCTACAGACAGAGAGCAATGGTAAATTGAACTATTTTAGGGGAAGGAACCACTAGTATGCACTGACCAAAATCCTTCACGCCTTTTTTGGTCTTGTTCGTCGCCTACGCTACGCGAAAGCGAGGCTGGAAACCACTGAATAAAGAAATCAATTTGAGCAGCATTTATATATTTCAATACCTTTCATTTGCACAGTTTAATCTAAAATAAATCCAACCAAAGGCCAGTTATGACAATAATATACAGCCTGCTTATATATATAACAATAACATAACAAAGATCAGTAGAAGCTCCAACTCCGATAGATGCATAAATTCCAACTTACGGTGGAAGAAGACGATTAAGCAGCTTCTCGGTTCGTTCTTTCTCTTCGTTTAGTTGTCTTGTTCGCTCGTCCACAAGTCGCTCCAAGTGATTGGCGTGCTTTTCCATCATAGACACCATATTTTCTGCAATGTTTGATCCCCTGAACAATGCAGAGGAAATTAGTAAGTACTAAAATTAGTTCGCTTTGTGCGAAATGATGGAATAAATTTAACAGCCTATCGCACAAACAAAAATTATTTTTAAGTGCCACGTTGTAATGATGATGATTATATTAGGGACTGTGATGATAAGTAATGGTAATTAAACTGAGTGGAGTGAAATTTGGTCCTAAATCATACGCGTGATTTCAAAATCGAACGGGCGCGCAGTGCGAGTTTCATATTTCGAATCACAAAAATAATTTCATACCAAAATTTCACGACACGAAATTCAATTACCACTTTATTGCATTTATTTTTAAATTGTTTAACTCGATTTTCTAATAAAATTAATTCAGAGTTTCGAAAACAGATAAAGTTTTAAGAACAAAAGTTGCAAAATTTGAGACATGATAGCTTCTTTGTCTCTCATTACCTGTAATGTGATTGGTTACTTTATACACGCTTTGAAATCTGATTTGTTGCTTTCTATTTTCTATAGAAAAGATGCCATTTGAAGCAAAACAAGTGGAATAAGGGAATAAATCATTCTACTGTAAGCCAATCAGATTGCAAGGTTTACTAATAATTTCAATGAGCATGTAATATTGATAAATATACTTAAATAATTATACCTGCCGCTAATCTTCTTGAGGCGATCTACGATGCGAAAAAAATGCGGCCTTTCTTCGGGATCATCACTCCAACAGTCGACCATCAAATCAACGAACTCGGGCCTCACTTCCACCGAGGTCAGGTCTGGGCGGAATGGAGGGTCGTCATGCCCCATGATACGATGGATAATTTCTGTATTACAAAAGGAACAAAAAAAATTGCTCAATACAAATGGAAAATAGTTTGTGTCCAGTATGACACGATGTTTCATCTCAGCCAAGGAAATCATCAGAATTTCCTAGTTGGGAGTCGCATTCAAAGACTCTTACAATGTTCTCTGTTTGTTTCTGTTTTCAAGTTGTTTGTTGTTTCTTTGTGCATAAATGTAGCTTGTTAACACGCGGTTGGGAATCATTCTCCGATAAAGGGCCAGATTTCTATCATCAGCGAATTTTCTTAAAAATTCCAAAAGTATCTGATGATTCTAAACGACCAGCCACGAACCTTTTCTCACAGAAATAAAAAGAAAATAAATAAATACACAGTATGTGTAATTTGTAAGAATGACTGTCTTTCCTCGGTAAGGAATTATCCAACTAAAGAGGTGAATTCTCTCTCTGTAAGGCTGAGAGGATTGTTAAGGGAAATCCACTGCACAAAATACGTGTAAACTCGAATGTGTTCTTTTGCGCCGGCATGCGCTGTTAATTCAACAGCGGTATCCTCTCATCCACAAAGATGAGGTTTATGTAAGGCAAGGACTGGAGTCCTCACAAAGATGATTGATTTTAATCGGAGCCGTATCTCTGACTATATCGTTTTGAAAAGCCGTTTAATGTACCTTTAGGTCCAAGAGGACAATCAATGAAGGGTTTTGAGCGAGTAGCAATTTCCTGTAAGATAATTCCATAACTGTAGACGTCAGCTTTCTGTGACAAGCCTTCTCTCTCCACCTTGCTTAGATTTATGTGTTCTGGTGCTGTCCATAACAGATCTGTAAAAGAAAATGAAGAGATGAGTATGCCGTCAATAAGTATGCCAAAAGCACTGACAGATCAACGCGAAATAGAGCAAGGGAAATGAAAGTGAGATTGGTCTGATCGATAGACTCTCTGGTTTCATGTTTTCATTCCAGGAACTATTGGATGTTTTACACCAACTGAGTGCCTGACACAGGCTTAGCAACATTATTTTTAAAGAAAGATGCTGATTGTTTTGTCGCTCTTTTGGGACACAGAAATAAATCTGAATCCTCATGAGGAATCGAACCACATACCCTCGCTCCAGTCCACCACTATGGAGCTACAGAGAACTCTGGAGTGAGTGATGCCTCCTTATATGGGTTATTTCTCATATCTTGTTTTATTTCTGTTCGTAGGCCAAGCATGGACAGTAACGTTTATCTCAAGCTTTGCAGTTAGAATTTACGAATTGTAAACTCTCGACTGGTGATCTCAGCTGGGAAAAGCAACGCCCTCATTCAGACATGTGCAAAGAATCAGGTGTATTTTTCTGCTTCTTTACCTGCATACATCTTTGTTACATCACAGTCCACCTTATCCTCGCCTTCCTTAAAATCATGCAGTCCCCAGTCTGTAATGCTCACCACCCAGTGGCTGTCAATCATACAGTTCCATGAGGCGAGGTTACCATGAAGTTTGACTGGACTGTTATGTAGATATTTCATACCCTGGAGGTCGGGTTAAATGAAAGATTTAGGTATAAAACAGCCGTCTTGAGATCCAGGAAGCGGTCAGACGTGAATTAATTGCTGGATAAGTAATGAAACACGAAAAAAACCACGGGGGGGGGGGGGGGCTAGCTTACGAGCAAGCCCTCGTTAGTTGTAATTTGGAATTATCAACTGAGTTGATAACGTAAACTGGCCACCGTTAAGAATTTCAAAACTGACGTTTCGAGCGTTAGCCTTTCGTCAGAGCCAATGACGAAGGACTAACTCTCGAAAAGTCTTGTTATACTGTCCCATCCACGCAGCAAAACAGTTTCATTAGAAACTTAACCCCTTTTCTCAGTACTGGTGTTTCGGCAACAGCGTTTTTCTGCCCCTTAGGAAAGTGTGAGGCCTCGAAAAACGCAAGTCGATGAGAGGTCTGCTAGGGTTCTATCACAGGTAATTACTAGTGCCAGACCCCCGTCTAACCTCTCCGCGACTCGTCTTCATTCTTTCCCGGGGCGGATAGTGAGGGCGTGCTCGCAGGCTTAGAGGAGGCAAATAACTGAGCTCGAATGCTCGAAGAAGCGTTGTAGATGACGTCTAAAGGGAGAAATAACTGGTGAAGGGTACAGAATTGATTTGTAGCTTACGCCAATTGCACGGAACTATTCATCCGATGTAGAGCGCGAGCAAAAATGAAAAAGTCAGCAGCTGCTCTAAAGAAGAGGGAAACCTGTGGCTAATGACAAGTGCGGGAGAACAGGGTTACCATGAAAAGGGTGGGAAGGTGATGGAAAGTGGGGAAATTTTTAATTCAGTAGCGGCAACAAACTTTAAGATGTGAGTGACCACAAAAACAGTATTCACTTACTGCTGCAATGTCGATGGACATAGATAACTTGAAAGCGTAATCTATCTTGTATTCATCATTCGCAAGTACATCCTACAGACAAACAATACAAGAGCGAGAATAGCAAATGGCGAAATTTGAGTGCCTGCGTGAATAGATCTTTCACGAGAGATGAGATAATGGTGTGAGTGGTTTAAACCCTTTAACTTCTAGGTGTGATTAGTATCTAATTTCTCCTTACGACATCACCCCTGAATTGAACGTTAAGGGCACAAGAATAAAGGAAATGATCACCAACTAAAGAATCTCTTTGTTGTGAAACAAATTTTACTTATCAGCACCTTAGGGAACGTATAGAGAACAGTATGGAGAATATGCATACTGATGTTAGGGTGTAAAGGGTTAACAAGCCACAGAGTTAAGTAAAGTAAAATCAATGCAATTCTAGATTACTCTCGACAATCGATTGAAAATCGTTCAAGAAGAAAATGTGAATACGGAACATACTGAAAAATATATGCAGGCGCGAGGTGCATCTTGGGTCCCTTTATGTGTAGAGTGGTTGCCTCTCCACCAGATGACACAAAAAGATGTTTCAACAAACTCGCGTAAAAACTCGCGTACAAACGAGTTACAAACCTGTAGGCTTCCTTTCTTGCAGTAGGACCACACAAGGAGGATGTTTGGTGACTCAATGCACGCCCCAATGAATGGGTTGAGATTCTCGTGACTCAAATCTCGTACCTTTAAGAAGGAAAAAGCAGGAAATGTGGCCGTGGTTGTAAGTATACCTACATGTAGCTGATGCCGAAAGAAATGAAACGTCTGAACGTTTCTAATTACGAAAAAGAAAACAGCAAGAAACTTAAAGTTTACCCAAGATCTAAGATTTTAGCACTATAGCTCCCAAGAGTGACCATGGCATAATTTCTCCTTACAATATCAATGCAGTGTAAAGCAGACGAGTGATGAGAATGAGGAAAATATCAGTTAGGGAATAGTTAAGTGATCCAATATCGAATTCTCTAAACTAACATGGTAGACAGTAAGGAGAATTACCAATGAGATCTTGGGAGAGAACGATTAATAAGCGCTCAGCTAACTTAGAGAAATGAAACATTGAGAAGCGCAAACACCCTCGCAGAGAAAAATAAAATCGCACATTGATGCGTATTCTGTTTTGCTCATTGTCCTTGGAAAATTCAGAAAACGCTGCGGCTTAAAGTGAGAGAGGAAATTTCATATCTAATTTTCATATTGTCTGCCTATGAGTTTCATTGGCAACTGGCAAAATTTTTGTTTCTCGTTTCGAAAGAAACGACACAAGAGACATCAGCAGTTTACTAATTATCTCACAATCTGTGTTGATGTAAGGATGGACATTCCATTCTTTCCCTCCCCTCGTTAGTTTAAGTAGCTTTCCCTCCCTCCCCCTCTGGATCACTACCATGCCATTACTGTTAACAATACCTGTTTTAGTTCTATCAAAACGTCTCTTGTCAGTTGAACGCTTCTTTTCCTGAGTCGTTTGATAACTACCGTTTGCGTCTGAAATAAAATGCAGTTCGTTTAGTGTGGTTCTATTTCGTGTTAGGCTCTCGGTAGGTGGAAATGGGTGGAAAGACGGACACGAAAACCGGCAGAAGTGAAATAAAAATTAAAGAAAACAGAGCCGTTTCCGTAAATACACAAGCGCCTACAATAACCGCACATAAGTCAGCACTAACACTAACATGATACTCTCCAATGGTCGTGCCCGCGTACTCTGCTTTATCTTCCAAATCCGATATTGCGGAAGAATTCTCATTATTTCGGCTCACGTGGGTTGGGTTGGCGCTAGATGAGGCTGCAGTCTGGAGAAAAGGTATAACGAGAAATAATCAGTTTAATCTGTAAATATCAAGCGCGGGAAACGTGTGGCCTTCACAAAGCGCAGGAAAGCAGGTAGACTCGACCAAGCGCTGACGCTCATGCGCACTTTACAAAGCGCGGGAAAACAGCGCTTTGGGTTAGAAATGCAGCTAGTGTCTAGCGCTGGAACAAATTCAGGCTGTGTCAAGCACGAGAAAACACATCACCTCAGCGAGGTCTTAATGAAAGAAACTTTGGCCCTCAATATCATCAACAAGTAATCGCTTATTTCCTTGTAAAATTAAGGATTAATATCACTGTGTTTCAGAAGTTGCATAAATTTCCCGAGTCGCGCTGCAACACGCATGATATTAATGCCTAATTTTACTCGGCCCCATCTGATTATTTATTCTTATTTCCTTCCTAAGAAAAAACCTATTTCCCTCAATTCGTAATTTACGCCGCGTTGGTTTGAAATATCATAGTTAACATGGGCGTTATTTTTCTGTAATGAAGAAGCTCTGGAAAAACATGTCATATTTCCAAAACATATCGCTGGCTGGAGTGTGTGTAGAATATTGTAGAACATACTTCATAGCCTAAGGGTTCATATTTTACAACTTCCAGTGCATGAAAAAAGAGTAAAATAGGTTACTTAAATGAAGTGGTAAGCGGTGAGTACGCAACCATTGACTCTAAAACTATTTGAACAAGCTTGGAACCACCGCATTATGCAGCCTTTTGGTTAGAAATGCAGCTAGTGTCTAACGCTGGAATAAATTCAATCTGTGTCAAGCACGAGAAAACACTTCACCTCAGCGAGGCGCGGAAAGACATGAAGCGCGTGCATAGCTCTGGAAACGTACAGTCATTGCAAAGCGCTGGAAAAGGTGTACGCTGCTTCCGTATTAAGTGCACAAACTGAGCATAGAACCAGGAAAAGGACACAAAAAGAGTGGAGGGTATGCAGCCTTCTCCTCAATAGCGCAAAGTAAGTCTGTGATCTCATTGAAGTGTGACTGCAGAAGTAAATTCAAAACATTTTTATAACACCTGATGGATTTTGACAAACATGTGCTTCCTGCCATCTTACCTGGTGAGGCATGATGAAATTATTAAACCAGAACGGTAACATGCCCTGGGGTTTAGGCTTCTGTTTAACGTTTTCTTTCATTTTGAGGTCTTCAAAGCGGATTTTCCACGTCATATTTTCAGCCAAATCTGCCTCGTAACGAAGCTTCCTATATCAAAACAGGAAAATACAACTGAATCCTTAAATCTTAAGTTTCTTAGGACCAACGTGCTCATGTTAACGCAGTTTGAGACTCTCAAGGTGGAATCTCGGTGGTATCTCAGCAAAACATTGTGCCCAAGGACTCGACCAAAGTTCAAGACATTCAGGGAAAATTTTTCAGTGAAACTTAAATGACACCAGTCTACGCCCGGGACGTTTAAGTTGTCCGATCTCAAGATAACGGCACTAAATTGAAAGCCATGGAAAATATCTTTCGTCCTCTCGAGCGCGTTGGGAAAGAAACATTTGCTAACTTTTTAATTTTGAGGGAGAATAAGACAACCTGTGGTTAAAGCTTGAGAGATCTAGTTAGAAAACCCGTTGATTACCTGATAATTATGAAGAACATGAAAGCTAACACCACCACCCCAGAGATAGAGGCACCTATCACCGCATTTACGATACGTGCAGCTAGAAAAGCAATCAGAACAATCCATTAGACTTCACGATCACAAATTTTACATGATGTCCATTTGAATGGCAAAGAAAGAACGAAATTTTTACTTTTCTTTTCTTCCTCCAAACACAGCTCCCTATCCCATCCGCACCTCGGTTTGTCCGATGGAGGTCTGGTCCGACCCCCGGCCCAGATCACGCTCACATCTGCAAAGCAGTAACGTAGACACGGTGATAATTCTACAAAAATGATGCCGTCTGAATTCTCCTTACATTTTAAGCGACAACCTTCCAAGGACGTTGGGAGAATTCCGAGGTAAAGGTACCAACCTCTGAGATTAAAGCCTCCAGTTTTGTGACTGTAATCAGCGATGTTCTGAAAGCTTCCATTCACGTAATACTTGAGCGAGTAGTCGGGTTCTCTGTCACCGGAACTGTCTATACGCACTATACCTGAAGCCCCTGGGAGAAAAGAAACAATCTCCGTCAGTTCCCACCCTTCTCCCAACCCCCACCCTCGTTTTTCCTCTCCATCACCTTGCAACGGAACTGATAGGCGCCTAACAATTACCATTATGGCTGCGGTCAGATGAATTATTCCCTGGGGTCTGATTAATTACTCCCTGGGTCTTATTAATTATTCCCTGGGGTCTGTTTGCTATTGCTCAAGCCCCCTACGAGTTTTTAGATTCTAGCTGTCAAGTTTCCTTATTCATCCCTTGTACCTGGGTGACATGTATCTCATAAACAATAAAAGACGCACATTTAAACCCTCTTCCAAATGATCTCATATTACCTTCGAATTCTCGATTCAGCATTCTGTTCACGATCGCCCTTCCGTCCTTTTTACTCCCTCCAGCGGCAAGAGTTTCATTGAGCGCGTTTGCATAAAGATAAATGGCGTCATAGATGGCTCCAGCGTAAACTTCCACCTGTCCATAAGAAACAAATATACAATGGCGTCTTACTGATATTGAGGAACACCCCAAAATTTTTTACTATCATTGGATCCTTTCCTTGGTTACCCCCTCCCCCCGTCCTATTTGTCCTTCTTAACAAAAAGGTTTGAATTCAACCCTTGTAACCTCATTTGTCCTGTCCACGCTAACAGACATAAGAAACAGTCGACAGGAAACCGAAAGAAACCATAAACTGAAAAAAGAAACTTGGCCATCAGAGTTTTATTTTGTGCAAAAATAATTTATTTGAAAATTCCACGAGGATTTCACTCGATTCGTTAAAAAAAAGTTACTTTCTCGGAACCGGTTGTTATTCATCGCTATGGTCCCCCCTTAATACTTTGTTAGGGATTACTGACCCTCCCCTCAGTTCCCCCTGAAAACCGTGTGGTCCTTCCCCCAAAAAAAATTCTCCAAACCTCCCTCCCCCCCCCCCGCGATAAATAATGAAGAGTTCCTTCGACCAGCTTAATTACCTGCTCACTGTCATCCAACTTTATGTAAAAAGGAGATGCGTTCATTTTTGCCCGGACTCTTTCTTTAAACGACTGCCACAAGGGTGTGGTCGGTTCGCGCACGTGGATACTCAGAATTCCTCGAAACGCCAAGGCCGCCTCCGCGTCACGGCCGTCGTTTCCCATAAAGGTGTTATTTCCAACAGTGGCGGATGGCAAAAGATTTACAGTTAGAAACGCAAAGTCGCCGTTCAACATGCCGAGGTCGAGTGCGTTCAGCATAATCGCGCGCATGTCGCCACCATAGCATAACATGACAAATACTGAAAGAAAACACAGAGAGAGTAAAAACAAGTGCGCATGCGTAAAGCTACTGGGGTAAGCCTGTATCTGGGTATCGAAGCGATAGCTTAAATGTCATGCGCAGACGTTACCCCAAATTGTTCAAGCTGAAGTCGAAACGGACGACAAATCTACAGCCAATTGATGTTTAAAAGCTGCAAATGTTACTGGTAAAGGAAATTTTTAAAATACTGTCCAGGCTAACTAATAAAACTTTGGGAAGGAAAAAGTTTGGTTGGATAACAAAATCAATTTTCCTGAGCTAAATAACATTCTGAATAAAGGTGATAATTTTTTAAAGAAAAGTGTCGGTGTGATGTTTTATAAGATAATTTGGTTCTATCAACAGAGTTGATAATGTAAATTGGCCACTGTAAAAAGTTTTCGAGCCGGACGTTTCAAGCCTTAGCAAAAATTGTAATCTTATTTAAAGTTTACGATAAAGTAATTCAAGCTATGAACTGATGATATAAGACCAAATATTTCATAAATAAATTACTTTACGATAATTTGTTACATAATTGGTAATACGACCTTCATGTTCTACGGTTCAAGGATTCTAAAGCATGCTTTTTCAAATTAGCCACACGTTACGCGCTCGGCCAGTTTGACATTACTCGCTTTACTGCGCCATGAACTGTGTTCCATTCAGTTCTATTAAAATTTCTCATTCATTTCTGCGTCCACTTACTTCGCGCCGTTTCCTTGGCGTGTAACAGCGTGCTTTTAAACTCCTCTCTTTCTGTCACCAAAACATGCCCTGGACTAAGAGTGTGTAAGTATCTAATCTCGATGTCGTTCTCCAGAAAGTCTTTCATCAAGCCCGACATAGCCAGTTGCCATATACTCTCGGTCGATGCCAAAATTCCGATGCTCTTCCATTTGAAATAGCGAAATACCGACAGAAACAATTTTCCCATTTTTGAGAAGGACCCAACAGTTCGTGCAAACGTCTGGTAAATGCTTTTCTCTGATAGCGTTGGCGACTCACATCCCCAGGAAACCATCGGAAGATTCCACGAGGAGGCTAAAATCGCGGCCGGTCCGCAGATGATATCACATCCATCTCCAATGATGGCGTCCACACCTGCGATTCGGAATTCCACTGCTTGATTCAGACCTTCCGCAGCTAGACACATAGAGTCGTTCCACAGAAAAGTCATATTATAGCCAGGTAATAGTGTTTGGTCTTCATTTATCCGATCAACAGCAATGGTTATGGCGGAGGCTGAAGTTTTCCCGATTGGCCAATAACCAGTCATGGGGAGTAAAACTCCAATCTTGACCTCCTTCTCGTTGTCCGTAATCGCTTGAGTTTCATCGTGACGGTGGCCTGTCACCGTGTCGACGAAAAGGGAGATCGAAGCAATAAGGAAAAAGACTAGCTTTCTGCCACAAGGAACACTCATGACTCTCTCTGACCGCGAAATAACATGGAATTTGTCTTAATGGCTTTTTTCTTTTTAAATTACCATACATTAATCATTATTTTTCATCCAATGATAAAAAACAAACCGAATGTAGGGACACTCTCTCTTTGATTGACCGAACTCAATGACGTCATGGTTTTAAATGATTGCCTGCCAGCTTGAGAGGATTCGTATTCTGAAAAGACTCAAAGAAATGCCGCCTTCATCGTTTAGAATTTTCCCATCACGATTCACCTTGTAGACGTTTTCGCTGAAATTTAGCTGTTACGCTTTGAGTATAAAAACCAAATCAAAGAAAACACAGAAAACAACATGACAGAGAGCTTTAAATCCAAAACTGTCTCATGTACAGCCAAACAAAAACAAAGAAAATACCCCCCCCCAAAAAAAAACAAACATAAAATAAAAACCAAACAAAAAGCCCTTAGTGCAATGTGGATCCCTTTGACCCCTATAGTGACTTGCATCTAATTCGCCTTTCAGTATCACCCTTGAAACATCGAGGTTATGAAAATACAGAAAATGATCACAAGCTTCAAAAGCTCTTAATTTTTAAACAAATTCTCCTTGTCAATACCATAGGAAATTTATTGAGGGTAGTATAGAAAATATGCATCCGAATATAAGGGTGTACAGGGTTAAATACAAATCAATACAAGTCAGCACTGGCGGCTTTCATAATCTTTGTCAAACCAGCTCCAGTCCCTACATACGAAGATGACTGTAACGTAATTAAACACCCGAACATATCCGACTTGTGCACGAAGATTTACGAGTGCTCCGATAATTAACATATATATATGAGGATGGAAGAACTGTAGAATTGTTCGGTATCGTTGGGAACTAACTTCGATGTCGACTAAAATCTCAGCAAGTTCGGGTTCAAGTTTCACGAGTTAGAATCGATTGGAAACCGAAAGGTTTCCCGACGTAACATTCAAAGTCATGAGCGGTCGAGCTGAAGACAGCTCAGTGCAAGAACAACACTGTTCTCATGCACCAGAAAGGCGACTCGGTATTGTACTGAAGTAACCTTACTAACAAATGTAACGCGCATAACTCAGAATAAAAAACTTCGTTCACAGTCATAACAGAGAACTTAAAAAACAAACACAAACATATTTCAAACAAAAACAAACATATTTCAAACAAAAACAAACATATTTCAAACAAAAACAAACATATTTCAAACAAAAACAAACATATTTCAAACAAAAACAAACATATTTCAAACAAAAACAAACATATTTCGAACAAAAACAAACATATTTCATGCACAGCCACATGAATTGTCTGCGAAGTAGGTCTTAATAACTTGACCCTTTAACTCCCAGAAGTGACCAACATGAAACTTCTCCTTATAAATATCATTACATTATCCAGCAAACAGGTAATGAGAATATTCAAACTTATCAGGTGGAAGCTGTTATCTTGATCTAACACCATATTCTTGTAACCAATTTACAAGGAAATGTGTAGCAGCTAGTGAGGAGAATTAACAATCAGATCTTGAGTTAAAGGGTTAACAGTTTGTGGTCATATTTTCAAGCTAAATGAAAGAAGTGGTAGTTTGGTTCATGGCTAAGAAAAACAAAATATTCTTTTTATTTCTTCGCGTTTCATACTTTGAATTTAAAACCTCTTTATATCTAAATCTCGACGAGTCCTGAAAATTCTCCTTGATTCTATTAAAGGATCAATATCAGTATATGGGCAACTGCCCACCTACCCCTCCCCTAACTCAACATTAACCCTAACTTGTCATCAATTGACAGTCCCTATTAAATATATATAAAATTTTTACTATACTAATTTCTTGTTATAATATCACCCCTGAATCACACATCAACGTCACAACAATAAAGGAAATGATAACAAACCAAAGAAGCTATTGATTGGTAAAAAATTCTCTTTGTCAGCACCTTAGGAAATGCATAAAGAACGCTGTAGAGAATATGCATGCATGATGTTGGGTTGTAAAGGGTTACGTGTGTCTCGCATCCCAAGACATCACGTAGACTACAAGAACTTACAAGAAAAAAAATAATAAAATACTCAATTCATAAAGATATGGGTTGTGGATCTCTACTCTTCGTGTTAAAATAAGTGTGTTTCATTTGCCCTAGATACTTGCACAAAGAAAAGCCACAATGCATAAAAGCCTCCACAAGTTCTGTCACGGGTCACAGAAGGTTCTTAAAACGTTATTTTGTCCGGGCTACCCCGGTTTCAACGGATGCACTGTAATGCTTTCTTTTCTTTTCAGCTTATTCGAAATCTCCAAGTCTTTAAAATCACCATAAGTCCAGCTAACCCTGTTATTGAGCCCGTCATAAGAAGAAGGCGCACCATCTGAAAAAAAAAAAAACGTGACAACATTCACATTGTGTTACAAACCCGCTTCAATGTTTTTGCCTCACTCAAAACTTATTCACAAGTTTCCTTTCAAGTTATTCTTACAAGACCTTTTAAAAATATGCCAAAGGGGTATTAACAAATTTCTATGCTCTCAAACACAGTTTTTGGTAAATTGTATCTTTCCTTTGTAGGACACTTTGTTACTCTCAAGGAAAATAATTCAATAAATATTTTGTTTTGAAAAAAAAAACAATAAATAAATCAAGGACAGTTTGATTTGAGTCTTTGTCATGGCAGACCAAAGTGGTTTCATAATGTTTGCATTCTTTCATCTGCGAAATCTCAGCTACAAAACAGAACCCTTGTTTAAAACCCTCTGCCACACTTCATCCAAAATTCTCAGCTTATTGCAAGAATGAAACCACACTACCTTTTTTTTTCCTCTGTCGTGTCCTTTCCGGCATAATTATATAACTTTCTTATGAATCAGACTTGGAAAAAGTCGCTCACCTTTTCTTGCCACTGATTTCTTTTAACCACTTCGCGATAAGGTATGTGTGTGTACGTTACCTATGAAGAAAGATCTGTCTTTACCGACGTTGGCTATAGGGGTGGCTAATAACATTGCTCCAGTATTGGCGAAATCGGTGACAGCATTGAGAGATATTTATAGTCAGGAGGCAGCTCGCCAAAAAACGATTTTCGCTAAACATTCCCATGCGATATCAGTGTTACAAAAAACTAGGCTTCGTTTCAGCTTGATTAAGAATCGTGCTGTTAAACTCCAAATGTTATGATATCTGTCATTAAGCAGGTTTTTTGTCAATATTGCAGCATGAAAATGGGAACTGTAACATTTATATAAACCCAATAAAAAGTGCACGATACGATAAAATTGATCATTTGTCACTTGACATTTGGTCGATAGACAGTAGTTAGGAAAAAATGCGTCACGATATTGGCCAAATGAAGAAGTTGCCAGCAATGATTCAGCATATTTAATAGGTGATTAAGGGTATTTGTAGGTTTCATTTTGACCCTGCAACATTGGGTAACAATACTTCACCAATGTTGGTTCTGTGCGTATTGTAATGGCCTTCCTGCCTTCAAAAATCTCCCTAAAATTGTCAGTCTTACCATAGTATGAAGCGGAATGAAAGTTTTGGGCATCAACCGGTTTAAGGCATACATCACTTTTCTCTCCAGAAGGAACCAAAAAGAATTGACCAATGATCTCAACTGGAAATAAGGAAAAAAAAATGCAACATTGGGTTAAATCTTAACCCTGGTTGGTCACTCTAGACTATCTCATGCCAGTTGCAGTAGCATGCAACAGCTTGGGGTATAACTGCTTCTCCAAGAATAGTCGCTAATTAATGGCTGATATCCTCAATACAAAAATAAAAATACAAGATGCAGCAAGAACAATTATTGAGAGAGCAAAGCATAAAAAAGGCTGTGGACCCAAAAGGGCTGGTGCGAACAGGAAACAAGGACTCATGCGAGGTATTGCCCACGAGATAAAAAAAAAAAAAAAAGAAAAGAAAACAGAATTATAAAACATAGTAAATGTTATTTAAGAAAATAAACTAAAAACTACGGGTGACAGGGGCAGGATCGCAGAATTGTCCAAGTAAAGGAATAACTTGAAGAGGCACTATCAAACTTAATAAGTCTCCATCAGAGCTTTGATCAAAATTCAATTTTTGACAGTAGCAAATTAAAATCCAAGAAAGTTTGAGAGTCATAAATGAAGGATTATGAAAGAACAGTTATTTCTATGGATAAACATGTATTTAAGCGTCAAAGAATACGAAAAGAGATATTAAATAATTTTTAATCAATTCCTGTAAGCGTTCGTTTGTTGTCAAATAATAGTAATGATGGGTTTTACCCCACAATTAGTATAATGTACCTCTAAATAATTATCCATAGACATGTCACAAATAGCCTCTGCATCTTTGTTTCTAACTTTAGAATATTCCTCCAAGACAGCTCCTGTCAAATATGCAATAATTTACAACAGTAACTGAACTGAGTAACTGAACTGAGTAACTGAACTGAGTAACTGAACTGAGTAACTGAACTGAGTAACTGAACTGAGTAACTGAACTGAGTGAAGTACAATTTGGTCTGAGATCATAAGTGTGATTTCAAAATGGAACAAGCACGCAGTGCGAGTTTGATCCGAAGTCTCAGGTATGATCTCAGATCAGAATTGCGCAACAAGAAGTTCAGTTACCACTTTATTACACCTATTTTGAAATCGCAAAACTCAGTCGCTCAGATACATGATTTTCTAGTCTGTACAAATATTTACTTGAATGATCCAATACTAATGCTGTTTGTTAAAAGTTTCAAAAGTTGTCTTTCAATTTCCTGCAATTCGATTGGTTACTTTAAACAACCTTTGAAATCTAATAGGTTGTTGCGCTTGAGTAAAGCTTTCTCATTGGCTGAAAAGATGGAATTCAGAGCAAAAAATACTATGATTTGTGAATAAATCGCACTGCTGAGAGCCAATCAGATTGCAAAGATCACCGGTGATTTCAAAATGGATGTAATGAAATTATTGATGGTCAATCAACAGCAAAACCACTAAAAGAATCAAAGATTCCAATCTGTAACAACACTAAGGTGATGTTTACCAAAGTTATTGCCGTGCTTGACCAAAAGTCTGTCTAAAATGAGGCAATCTTCAAACCCCTAAAAAGAAATTGGGAGAAAAGAGAGATCAAGGAAGAATTATATAATATATGTTCCTTAGCAGTAGAGTAAATATAAAATCAATTGCGAAAACAATGACACCTAAAAAGTATGATCCATGAACGATGAGACTCAATAGCTTTATGGAAAATGTTCGTGTAGATACATAATCCGAGATTCACTTTTCTCACTACTCATGAAAAATCTTCTTTATGGTGTTTATTATGTATATTTGTACCCAGAGAGCCCTAGAGTCTCATCGCTCATCGTGAACGCTTTGTTAAAGTGTCAACGTTTTTGCAATCGAGTGTATACACCTTGTTCAATTGTTCCACATATGATATGCATGGATATTTTGTGAGTTGTGGACTATTCCACAAGAAATGAACCATAAAACATCGAATAAGGGACTTACTATAATTCCATTTTCTTGTGTTTAAATTTCTAGTTTGCAAAATACTATCTTTGGGGCGTGTGCGAAAGACGAACACATGCAATGCAAGCAAAATCATTTAAGTGTTCTTCGTGACTAGCATCACATTTGGAAATGCCCAAAAGTTCGGTACCGATCGTACATTATTACAAAAATAAGAAAACTCATGGAGCTACTGACAGAGTTCATTCCTTGTCCAAAGAATGGCACCATGGCATGAGCTGCATCACCAATAATGAGCACCTTATCTGAGAAGTGGTAAGGTTTACACTGTGGATAAAAGCAGAATATAGCATGGTTCAAACGAGAGAAGGAAAATAAAGTTAATACGTGACTTGTATAGTCCCTTTTGCACTTTCATCTCTTACAAAAAAAATTCCCGTGCGAGGGCCTTAACCAAAGATATGGGCAGGGCCAGAAAGAAAAAGTACGGCTGTGCAAACTTTGAGCTAAAACAAGAAAGGACTGCCGCTATGTTCCTTTTTGAAAACACAAATCCATCAAACATTTGTTTTTTCTATCGTGATGTGTCAAAGACTTTTTGGGAAACCTTCCATTTGTGGCTTGGTGAATGTTCAATAAAATTTTATTTCTTTTGACAATTGGAGATCGTCTGGGGAGTTTTCGATACAATAGACGATTTTGCATCAATCACAAATCTTTCGATATTGATAGCTGAGTACTAAAGTGTAAAATGAATCTTGTGAATCCCTCATTACTTGTTCAGAATCCTAAGATTAAACCTGTATATCAAGTCGAGGAAACATATATATGTTCAGTACAGCAAGGTGTTTCACTATTCAGCATCTTGAATGTGGTGTCTGTCTGGACAAGAGACTTTCAACAGCAGCTTCAACAATACTTCAAGTTGTAAGGTCTACATAATATGTACCGCTTACATTTTTTTAAAATTTATCTTTTTCTTCTTAAACAAGGCTGAAGTTTGACAACCCAGTCTGAACTACTCCACCCCCCCCTCCACCAATTTGATTGCAGCCCCCCTCCTTCATTTGAAGCCTTTATGCTTCTCTTGGAACAAAAAAAATTCCATGACGTAAGTTACGTCGGACAATGTTAATGCCGTCAGCAGCTATTTACCTTTATTGAAACCGTATGCCACACAGGATTTTTAAAGAAATCTTCCAAAATTCTTTCCCTAACAATTTAACAGAAATACCAAACATACAAGGTTAAAAAAAGCAGCCAAGAGATGCACCAAACAAATGTTTGAGTCTGACATTAACTTACTCTCCCATCAGTTGTACAAAGTCAGGAAAAACAGAATTGAAGAAACTCAGAACATCCTCCTATGCAAATAGAAGAAAATTGAAGTAAAATCAGTCTTCTGTCATCTAAATGCATGAAACTAAGCTGGTACTAGCCACCCATCCACATAAGTAATTTCTGTGACTCAGTAAAGTTAATGCTTAACACAGGTTTGCAAATCTTACTTATTATGAGATATGGTGTGATGACAAGTGATGTAATGAAATCTTCATCAGACGTGATGTGACGTGATTTGGTGTAGAGTGGAATGATGTCAAGTGACGTGGCATGGTGAGATGTTATGTGGTGAGGTACGTGTGACATGAGGCCATGAGATGTTGCATGGTATGATGTGATTTCATGTGATGTGATGTGGTAAGATGTTATGTGTTGTGGTGTGGCATGATATCATAAGAGGTGGTGTGGTGAGATTTTATAAGGTGTGGTAAGATGTGATGTTTTGTGGTACGTGTGATGTGATGTCAGGAGGTTTGGTGTCATGTTCTGGGGCATGGTGTGATATGATGAAGTTTGTTGTGATATGATGTGGCATGGTGCCTCCTCCTCCTCCCATGGTGTGATAAGATGTGGCATGGCAGGATGTGATTTCATGTGATGTTGTCTGGTGTAATTTAATGTAATGTCAGGCTGACATGATAGCAATGGGGTTTCACCTTTGTCTTCAAAGAGTCAAAATTTTCAAATGGCATAAAAAGAGTACAAGTAAAAGATGGATCCTGCAACAAAAAACAACAACAACAATAAGTTGACCCATCAAAAAGGGAAATGATGTTACAACAAGTACTTAGATGATAAAAAGTCACAATCTAAGACTATATAAGAATAATAACTGATGAAATTATGACAGATTTTATCCTTGACAAGTCACTTGGGATGCGTAAGTATTAATAGGCAAAAAATTTTCTAAAGAGAAATCTGCTGTATTAGTGGAATATTTACAAAACTTTTAGACTGATCTGGTTCATGCAATCGTAACACCAAATAAATGATCAAAGATATCAAGGCATTGGATTAATAATGTTATTTTATTGAAATTGATTTGAAACTCTCGGTAAAGTGTCAGGCAACAACTAACAAACTATTTCTTGTCTTAAATTGGCCACTATGGATCAAATCTCGTTAAATAGCACATAATCCATTAAAATTTTTGCAATTAAAGCAGCATTACTACCTTGTTAGGAATAGCAATTAACATGAACCCATCTCGTGGCCAAACGTGGAGATAATCTTCTACAATAGCATATTCTCCATTCTTGTTTGGCAGAAGTTGGAATTCTTTGTAACCATGTGAAATGTATTCTTGGCTAAAGTCAAACCTAGCGTGAAATTAGGACAATTTTTTAGGTCTATTCATATCAAGTGAAATGATATAAATTGATAAATATATAAATTGGCCACCATAAAGAGTTTGGCCCTTTGTCATCCACTGTAACAAAGGGCCAATGCTCAAAACATCTGCTTTGAGTTTAGTGGCAGATGTAAGGGAATGAGGGATTTAGATGAAAGCCCAGGGTTTAGCAGTGGGGGTAAGGGGTTTAGCTGTAGGGGTAAGCTGAATTACACGTCGCTTTAAAATGGAGAATAAAGAATGAGGACTTGACTCCCATATTATATATAGTATAGTATACTTATAGTATATTTCTCTTACACACACTCAAACTACCTTGGCTTCTTCATCATTTCGCTTCTTAGGGTTGAATGAGCTCCATCAGCTCCGATGACGAGCTGTGCATCTACCTCCACAGTCGTACCTTCTGGGCTGATATGAAAAGTATCAATACATTAAATACTAGCCTAGGTGTGGCTATTGAAAATACTTCTTTTATACCAATTTGAGGCCTTTACGTGTTTCCCTTTCTTCAAAAATGAGTCAGCTCAGGAGGGGAGAACTCACATTTTTCTGCTAGGCATTACCAATTAATTACATTGGCCAGAACAAGTAGAGAATTCAATTTGCATGTGTGCAAATAACACAAAAGGACTAGTTTTGGCCGGTACATAATGTGCACATTTTGATTAATTGATTGCATCATAAAGGCCTTAAAAAAAGACCAACTTTTTATCATACCATGAAAGTACCAGATGACCCTCCTCCAAGTTTGCAGACACCAACTTGTGTTTAAAATGTAAGTGCACATTAGGGAAGGTCTCGGCAACTAGTTGAAAAAGAGTTATATCATTGCCATTGTGAAAATATAAATCCAGTAAACTTAACATCATTAAAAATTATAGAACAAGGATGCAGTGACCAGATAGTTCAAGGGTCAAGAAGTTCCCTGGTTTGAACACTAGCAAGGTCATTATCCCATTGTGTTTTTGAGCAATATACTTCTCTCTCACATGAAATGGCCTTTGCCTTTTCACTGGAGTATAAATGGATACCAACAAACTGTCAAACAAGCCTGAAAAAAATGCCTCAGAGGGGGGTAGCCTGTAATGAATTAGCATCAATCCTGTCCAGGGTGAGTAACAATACTCCAGATGGAAGCATGTTATATATGAAAACCACGACAACCTCCAGATAATGAGCAGATCAATTCAAGCTTCAACATTCCCCCCAGCACCTCCCCCTACCCCAGGCAACCCACAGGCATTTCAACTGCTGAACATTGGTTTGTTCAAATTCCTGCCTTCTTGGGGCAAAAATTGTGTTATCTTAAAACTGTGTATATAAGAACAGAAAAATAATCAAACCATGACTGATTGCGCTTCAAAGCCATACCAGAAAGAAGTTTTTCATTAACTTTCCTTCTTTCCATCGCCATCATAGGATGCTTCAGAAAGAGAAAAAAAACATTGCATCTTATTATACTGTGGATCAAAAGCACCACTATATCCACCCCCAGCTGCCAACACCAAGATGAATACATGTTTTAGTGTATACCAAAACAGTGAGATGGCAAAGCACAAAAAGAAGATTTTAACTCACTTATTCCTGCAACAATTACGATATCTATGGTTGCAAATCCCTTGTGAGTTGTTCAGAGGTGAACAGCAAAGGACTCTGGACTTTGAGTAGCTAATCAGAGCACATCCACTCTTTTAATATATACTAACTACCAATTATTCACTAAAGTGGAGGTAAAAATCAATCCCTTTCACTAACACTGAGGTAAATAGCTGCAGCTTTAATGTAATAGACCACAAAGATACTGAAAGGTAATTAGTTCATTCCGGTCAATTTATTGGCTATTTTTAGATCTTTTTTGTGGTTTTTGTACCAGACGATTTTTTTGGTTTTACAGTTTTTCAGTTTTGGTGTTCACTGCTGTTTGCGAATTTTGCATTTTTTAGCATTTGGTTTTTGGCTTTTGTCTAAAATACTGATTGGTTTTCAGATTTGGTATCCAATGTGGTTTTCATCTCTTCCTTTTTGGGTCCTGGTTTCACTTCCATCTGAGCAGCAATTATGTGCCACCACTGATCTCAAATAGACACGAAACCTCCATATGCTCCACTTGTCACCACTGCATTGAGTCAAAAAGGGTTTTGATTACTGGGATGTGAAAATTGATCAGTTTTGACAGTTTTGCATATGGGTATTGGTTTTGTTCACATTTTTTTGCAGTTTTGCAGTTTAGGATGTTTTTTTTTCTATGGTTTTGTGGTTTCTAATGGACCTCAATACCGCTCTCTTTAATATATGATAAGCTGAATTATACAGTCAGGCATTTTGATTGGTTCTCATTTATGATCTTCAAGGGGACAAAAGCATACACGATGTCACCATTAACAACTGTACATTTGGCTTTTTTTATCATATAATTAAATAGACTAATCTCTGTCACCTTGGCACTAGATCACAGTGATAGATCACTTGAAAGTAGATGTCAAAATGTGCTTGGAACCTCTGTGATGCATTCTAATGGATCTTGCATGCCACTCTTTTGTTCATACCACCTTTTGACATCATCTGTGATCTATTACGAACTAGTGCATGATGATGTGAAATAAATGCATGCATTGAGTTTAAAAGATCAGTAATAAACTCTTGCTCACAAGTCATAAGTGGAGGCACATTGGCCTCATGGTTAGTGCGTTAACTCTGGATCGAGTGGTCCCAGTTCAAGCTCTGACTGGGGTCATTGTGTTGTGTTCTTAGGCAAGACACTTTACTCTCACAGTGCTTCTCTTCACCCAGGTGTACAAATGGGTACCAGCAAATATGCTGGGGGTAACCCTGCAATGGATTTGCATCCCATCTAGGGGGAAGTAGCAATACTCCTAGCCGCTTTGTGCTAGAAAAACTGGAGTTGAGTGCCAGCCCCAAGGGCCAATTTGGCCTTTTAGTAAAGCCTTTATAAAGGATTTACTTTTTTTTCACAAATCATATTTAAATTGCTAAACTTCATAATTATTTAACTCCTCACATGTTCTCCATGTTCAAAGAAGAGAGTTGTTATGTCTCCTGATTGGGGATGAATTTTTCGGCCGTATATGTCCACACCCAGAGGTGAAATCTGTTATATAAAAACCAAACTTGATTATTCTTGCATTATTTAGTACAATTAGGACTTGTCGAATGGTCTGTTAATGATTCTAATATCTTTAAGACTTCAAAATATATCACATTTTTTAAACATCTTAGATTACATTCTACTTATCCCAACAACATGCCTGGATATGTCCTGCTAAGAATAATGAAAAAAATATTAAAGAAGACTGTAACATGAATATCAGCTCAGCTCTTTATTTTTAGCAAATAAATCTGAACATTTTAAATGAATGAGAATTCTAATGTTTCTCAACACCTTCCTAGATTCAAAATTGTAGATATTCTACATTGCCTTGGATGGCCATTGAATGGACTTGGAAATTAGAAGCATTTTCGTTTACCACATGGGTGTCTCACTTTAGCAAAGACTTAGCTCTATTCTCATAAATGCAATTTTAGAATGATTCACAACATCCCAAAATTCCACACTTGATGAGAGTCATCCCCAGCAAATGTGAAATTTTGGAAGTTGCCAATCCTCCTAAAATTACATGCCTACATGGTTTGAAAATAAAGAAATCCTTGATTGCTGAGCATTTTTTCCTACAAGTAAACCAGCCTTAACTCTTTAAACCCTAAGAGCGACTAGCATCAAACTTCTCCCAACAATATCATACCTGAATCTTATGTTAAGGTCATAAGAATAAAGGAAATGATCACCAACCCACCAACCAAAGAAAACTTAAAAACCCTAAGAGCGACTAGCATCAAGCTTCTCCCAACAATATCATACCTGAATCTTATGTTAAGGTCATGAGAATAAAGGAAATGATCACCAACTAAAGAAGCTTTTGACTGGTAAGCAAATTCTCCTCATCAGCACCTTAGGAGATTTATAAAGAGCAGTATCGAGAATATGCATACTGACGTTAGGGTATAAAGGGTAAGTAACTTACTGACTCCAGTGCCCCAACTGCTCTTAAAGCCTCAGCCCCTCTTGTGGACAGAGCAAGATTTGTACTACGACCACCAACAAACTCCACCAGTCGAGGATCTGATCAGAGAACAAAACACAATACACTCCTATGAGAATGGCACCATTCAGTTCTTATACCAACTCAAAGACCCATATTCAAATTTATGAGGACTGCACCATGTGGTTTTTGTATTATTTATTCAACTCAGGGTCCCAAGCTCTGTTAACCATTTGTGACCAGCATCTCATTTCTCCTTAACCCTTAAATTCCCAAGATCTGATTATCAATTCTCCCTTATGGCTACCACTGATTTTCCTGTAAATTAGTTACAAGAATTTGGTGTTTGATCAGGGTAACAACTTTTCCTTGATGAGTTTGAGTATTCTCATTACCTTTTTTGCTGGAAAATGTTTGGAAATCATAGGGAGAAGTTACATGTTAATCACTTCTGGGAATTAAAGGGTTAAAACATCACCACAAAATCCCAAATAAAAGTCACAGGAATAAACAAAATGATCACCAACTAAAGAAGCTAATTTGATTGTCAGACGAGTCCCTCTTAACACACCTTAGAAAATGTATAGAGAACAGTATGGAGAATATGCATACTGATGTTAGGGTTAATGATATTTTCCTTTGTCATCTTTACCTTTCTGCTTGAGAGTATATCATTAGTGGAAATTGTTTTTGTTTTCTATTGGGAGTGACAGGGTAAAATTTCTGATAAAAATGACTTTAAAACAAATCAGTTGACCTCCACCAATGGATTGGAGTGGTAAAACATTGTTGCCTCAGATATTGAGGAAAGGGTCTCATAGGTAATATGGGGGCCAACTCTTGGGTTAAAAGGAATCTGATAGACACAAACCCAACCCACTCCCCTAGCCTTACTCCCCTTCCCCCCCCCCCTCCCCTCCATTTCCAGGCTGTCCCAGCATGATGTTTCTGTATCTAGTTACCTTGGCGAGCTTCATACAGGTCAACGTGAAATCCTCGTTTAGCGAGAAAAATGGCGCATAATGATCCCACCTAATTATTGTAAGGCAATGAAAAATCAAAAGTGTGCTCTTAGGCTCATAAAGTTTAAATTCCGTCAATATATTAATAAATATGTATACCAAATGGAATAATTTCCTATCTCATGTCGCAATTACCAATTTTCGACCCATTATGCAAAGTAAAACTATTTGATTCAATTTTGCAAATATTAACAAGCTCCTACCAGTCTCTCTTTAAATTTAAGACAAAACTTACGGGGGACCTTTCCACGCTTAATTACGTAACTTAATTACGTAACTTAATTCGATCAAACGTAAGTTCTTAAAAAAATATTTGATTCGATTGATGTCCATACATTTTCTGAAAAAGCCGATTAACTGCAAGAGATATTATAAGAAATCTAGAAAATATTCCCAAAAATACAAATAAAAGAGGCAAATTACCAAACCACCTCCAACGACAATAACTTTTGTTGGTGTAATTTGTTCGTCCCTAAATGAATCCGCCGCCATCTTACTCGTCTCCAGGGCTACTTGGCAAACTCGGTCTTAAGATTACAAAATTTGAAGAAATTGGTAGGTACTTCATGCCTCTGTAGAAGACAAGGTTGTATGTTTTTGCCGTCGTCAATTCAATATGATTGCCTCATACTTTCAATACTTTTTAACACTTTCATTACTAGGGGTGTCGGCTTACTTGAGATGGTACAAATTTCTTTTTTCCCCCAGCCTTCCGCTGTTATAAGAATCAAAGATAGCAGCTACGATTTTCACCCAGAAAATTCTTAGCACTTGCTCACCAACATTGCGCCTGCACCACAGGCTAGAGGTACTTGGCAGAATGGGATAGCAAAGGGACGGGACAGCTTAGGGACGAGATGTGGGACAGTTTAGGGACGAGATGCGGGACAGTTTAGGGACGAGATGCACTTGTTTTCAGCCATTCAGACACGCGTAATTTTTTTCCTGTATATTACAATACAGATTATGTTCTTTTGCCAGAGTACAGAGTCAGTTAAACTTTCAATGAACACCTTTCATCTTTCAGCGTTAATGCATACCTGCAGGTTGCGTGAGCATACAGATGGGTCGACTGTTTCGCTGCATTAATTAGGTAACTACCGAGTCGTTGGCTGATTTACAGAGTAAATAAAACTCTAAGCTGTGAAAAAGAGTATCACTAATAAATCTATATTAGCATAGTACATATAGGGTTATTCTAAAAAACAAGCGCAATTTATTTTTTTGTGTTTTCCACGCGAGCGGACGCACACACAATGGAAATGCAGAGGGTGAGTTATAAGCAAGACAAGGACCAAGGTTAGCTCCTCAGCTCGCTTCGTGCGCGTGTCCACTCGCTAGGAAAACGAAAATAAAAAAAAGACGCCTGTTCCTCGTAGTTTAAATCATCGCGAATCACAAAAGTCCTTCAATTGGATTTCTGTCTGTACGGCCCTAGTTTCAACAGCTGCACTGTAATATTTTCTTTTCTTTTCAGCTTATTTAGCTCCAAGTCTTTAAAATCACCATGAGTCCAGCTAACTCAGTTACGAGAAAAGCGCGCTCCATCTAATGGTTACGGCAAAGAGTGGCGCTCATGGTACTTGCAAAAACGTTTCCTGATATCCCAATCTTGTGCAAGAAACGCAAACGGCGATTTGTTCGGGTTTTCTTTCCCTGGAGCAGTAAGACTTAAGGAGGGTCATGTCATCGAGGTGACGTGTTCGTGTGCACGGAGGACAGCTGCGTGTCCACCAGGATAAACAGGAATAAACCAGAGATCCTGGTATTCCTTTACTTCGTCCGTTTTGACTTTCTCTAAAGGCTGTAATCGGGCTACATATACATGAACACTCTCTCGTTTTAATTAACTTGTTAGCAAAGATTCCACACAACCACCGTCGAACAGGCGATAATTACTGTTCTTAAACGTTGAACTTGGTTTCGCAGAGTTTCCCACTTGCGTTATTACTTGAGCTTAAAAAAATCGCTACACATTAAGGTACGATACCAAATTCCGTGTGGGAATCAAGGTTTACTCACGTTCTACAGCGATTCTTAGGCACAAATTTCTCATTAAACGTGGGTTTATTCGACGATCTACGCACTTATCTACCTGAAAGTACCTGATCAGATACATCACTTGACGCACGTACTAAGTTTGATTATTCCGTGGAGGAACATTCCTGCTGCATTCTTCGCATCTACTTTAGCGGTAGCGAAAGATCAACTAGCTTATTAAATAATCAAACATATGATACAAAAAAAGACGTCGATTCCGAGCATAGAAACGCTTCACGACAGTGGAAATTATTTTACAACAAAATGCCGAAGCCGAAGTTCGTACAGTGGTATAGTACTGGATGGTTAACCTGTTTCCGAACTTTCGCGGTTTATTTATATCACAAATCACGTGATACTACACGCGAAAAGGTGAGAAAACATGGCGGCAAAAGTTGTGCAAGACGAGAAATCTACGAAGAAAGTTGTTGTTGTAGGAGGTGGATTGGTAAGGATCTCTCGGAGTGTTCTTGGAGTGTTTTGATGGCAAGTGGAGATCTAGCGGAAATTGTGCTCTGTTGAATTTGGTTTTGGTGCAGCCTGTAACTCAATCAATGCATGCTTTCATGGGTAGTGCGTCTTTCACGCGTTTGAATTAGGTAATCTGAACACATTGCAGGTTTCATTCGCCTTTCTTTCGCGTAGAGCATAAAAATGATGAGGTAAATGAGCTAAGAGAAAAATGGTTACGATTTCTTTAAATCGATGGAAATAACTTACGCATAGACAAAAAAGCGCTTTGTGTATAAATATGCGTTATTGACTGAGCGTAGTATCTATGCGGCCTGGGACGTTAATTATGGCTTGGGCCTAATTATAAGATAAAGAACGAGGCCGATATCTAGAAGCATTTATCAAACATGCTTGGTTAGTGAAGGATTTACTGAATGGCGAAAAGATCACTTCAAAAAAAAAATTTACCAAATAAATTCTCCAAACTCATAGCGGTTTTCTTTGAAATGTTTTGACAGTGCAAAGACGTTTTGATTCAGTATTTTCTAAAACTGCCGGAAAACTTTTCTTTATGTTAACTTCAGAAAGTTGCCTAGGAGTCATGATCATAGAATGTGAACTAGCTACAAGCACTGTTTAAGTTTTGAGTGATCAAAGCAAGCAATGTCAATCAAGCTTAATAATGATCTTGCTCTTCTTGATCTCTGAGAACAGGATTCACTTGTGGGGGAGGGGGGAGGACTTGGGTCAGTTTTTACCGGGTATGTGTTGCTCGTCTCTCAGAACCCCTGCCCCTGCCCTTACCCCGACCCCATTGTAGTCTTTTCTGTCACTGATCATATACTCCATCGTAGTCACTTTTTGAGCAAGTGCAATTTTCACAATCTCGACCTATTCACTTGGTCATTTAAGCTTGTCAGCATGTGAAGCCCACAGTATGATGAATATTTACTAATGTTTGATCACATGGGAGCATTTGTTTTTTTTTTTTTTAATTGTGAAAGTTAAATCTTGCAGGCAGGTGCCTTGATTGCAGTGTACCTTGCAAAACGTGGGTTTAAAGTAGATGTGTTTGAAGCTCGCAAAGGTGATTTCAAGTTAGTTTTGATTCTGTAGGTTCAGTATTGGAAGGAAGGGGGGGCAGACGTGTGCTTAGTGTGTCACTCTCTTTTGAACCCTTTCAGCCCCAAGATCTCACTAGTAATTCTCCAAAGTGCCTGTTATACAATTTTTATGACTTTAGTTTGGAGAATTTGGCATTGGAATTTGGAAGAATTTTTTTCTTTATTCTCATTACTTGTCAGCTTGATATTGTTTTGATGATGTAAGGAGAGTTTATATGTGGTCACTCCTGGGAGTCACAGGGTTTAGAATTTGGGTCAGGAATTATCATGATTCAAAATGTTGAAAACTAAAACTACACTTCCAACTTGAGACTTGGAAATCATATCTTGGTGAGAGGGATGTACCATTGAAGGCCTAGTTAGGGTGTCCACTCACTTTTCAGTTTTGTATGAATTGATTTATTCCAAGGGGCAAAACAGAAACACAAGGCTGGGAAGGTAACAATCTTAGTCCCCTTCTATGATATGCTTTGCATTAAACCCTGTGGCTAAGCAGAGCCATTGTTGCAAAATAAAAAAATACCAATTTGAATAATCCAACTATAGATAAATTCTGTAAAGTGGATTAAAAACAGCATGCTCTGGAATATTCAGGATTGTCAAAAGAAGTTGAAAAGCAGAGAAAATCACTGCAATATACTTTTCCTTGAGTTATATGAATGGGGTGCCTCTCCTTTGATTTAAAACTAAACATCTTGTTTCACAGATTTTTAAAGATATGTCTTTTGGATGTTTAGATCCTCGCAAGGAGGTGGCCCAAAGAGGTAGAAGTGTCAATCTTGCACTCTCTGTCAGAGGAATTGAATCATTACGAGCTGTGGGAGCAGAAAGCCTGGTAATACTGAAATATTGAAGACAGAGAATAACACATTTATGATAATGAGCTATCTATAAGTTCCTGAAAAAAAAAATTTTTCTCAAGCATAATTGCCACAGTGGAACTCTAAATAATACTAATTGTGAAACATTTGTCACTGGTATAGAACAGTGGTAAATCTGAGTTCTCTGAAAGGACAAATGTAATTTCTCCCTGTAGGATCACCCCTCAATCAAACTTTGAGGTTCTGAGAAAAAAAAAAAGAAGTGATCACAAGCTTAAGAAGCTTGAAGTGTTTACCTTACAATTAGCTCTTGATTATTGAAAAATTCTCCCTAGTCAGTACTATAGGAGTTTCTGTAGAACAGAATGGAGAATATGTATACTGATGTAAGGGTTTAAAGGATTCAACTGATAGAATCAGTATACAACATTGAAATGGTAGGAAATGAGTGATGTTTAAAGCATTGCGAATAACTTTAATTCTTTCTTAAATTTTTACATTCTTCATTCTCAAGGTTATGGCACTTGGCATCCCTATGCACGCCCGTATGATTCATTCTCATAGTGGAAACACAACACCCATTCCTTATGGAAAGAAAGGACAGGTTAGAACAGAAGTTTATGTGTGTTTAACCCTTTGACACTTAAGAGTAACTAGCATCTAGTTTCTCCTTAGAATGTCACCCCTGAACCACACACTAAGGTAAGGAGAATAAAGGAAATGATCACCAAGTTGAGAAGCTCTTTATTATTAAACAAATTATCCTTGTCAGCACCAGAGGAAAATGTAGATAACAGTATGAAGAATATGCCAGTGGCAGATCCAGACCTTGAGCTAAGGGAGGGAAGTACCTGGTTTTTTGTTGCTTCAGCCTTGCCAGCTTTTCTTCCTTCTACGATTCTTTTTTCTTTTACCCAAAATAAGGGTGGGGCTGAGGCCCCTCGGGCCCCTTCCTTAGATTCACCACTGTATGCATACTGATTTTGGGGTATGAAGTGTGAAAGATATTCTCAACATCCATGTGTATTGTTTCTTGAGCTCACTGATTATCAATTATAGATAGAACACACTTTTTTTATCTATTCAGCATCTATTATCAGTTGAAAGGCAGAAGCTGAACAATGATCTCCTCACAGGTAAGAAAGTTTGGATCAGAGTGCACATACCCCAGAACAGTCTGGAAAAAGTGAATACTAATGTTTTGGTGCAAGGAATGAATGGGGAAAAACCTTAAAGATGAAAAAAGTTTTGTTGATTCTGTCTTCTTAATTCACTGATTTCCTATAACTGGTACTGTTGGTAAAGTACTCTTTCTGGCCTGTGTTGGTTCAGTTGCAGAAACTTACCCAGACGTTCGCATACACTTTGAGCACAAACTTATTGCTGCTGATATTGAAGGAGGCCATCTTACCTTCAAGTGGTAGGAGTCACATTTGATACATTTGCTTGTGTGTCTCAAACAGTTAAAAGATATTGCAGGAATGACTGAGTCGCCATCTGGATGATTTGTTTACAGCAAAGGAAATGATGATGAAAAGTTAGAAGTTGATGCTGACATTATTTTGGGCTGTGATGGAGCATACTCTGCTTTAAGAAGAGAGCTCATGAGAAGACCAAGGTGAGGGATGCAAGGCATTCTTTAGTGCAAATTTCAATTGTGTGTTGCAATAAATCTGGGTAGATGTACAGGGATACAACAATGAGAATAGCAAATGGCAAAATTTGAGGGCCTGTGTGAACTGAACTTTTAGAGAAGGATGAGATGGTGGTGTGAGTGGTTTTAACCCTTTGATCCTGGAGAGTGATTAGCATCTAATTTCTCCTTGCTTTATCACCCCTGAATCACTCATTAAAGTCATGAGAATACAGGAAATGATCACCAACTAAAGAAGCTTGTGATTGTTAAACAAATTCTCTTTGTCAACACCTTAGGAAAGGTATGGAACCCAGTATGGAGAATATACATACTGATGTTAAGGTGTAAGGATTAAGAGATGACATAAATTAAGGGAAGTATTAGAAATAGGGATAGATTCATGTAAGAAATGTGAAAAGAAAAAATTGTTATTTTCTACTTCATACATAAATGTTTGGATTGAGAGAGTGCTTATGCTTGCTTATCTTTTCTGTTTGGTTTACAGGTTTGATTTCAGTCAAGAATACATTCCTCATGGTTATAAAGAGCTTTGCCTTGCCCCAACCAAGGATGGAGAGGTTTAATATGTCTTTTTATCATTTACTCCACATTAAATAACAAAAAAAGATGATTGATATATTTAAGACATGCAGGGCTACAAGATGCCAACATTTGGGTTGAAACAATCTCAGTGTATTATTTTTTTTTATTATACAGTTTGCCATGGCAGTGAATTATTTACACATCTGGCCAAGACAGACATTCATGATGATAGCTTTACCAAATCAGGTAGAAAATAAGTTGATGATTTGGGGTTACTCAATATCAGATAATCCATCTGATGATAGTTTAACAGTACCCAATAATACTCCTTATTATACATTCAACTCACTATCTCTTTTCTGATTGGCTGAGAGCTCACGGTAAATTTTGAAATCAGCACCTGGGACCTCGTCATCTAGCTACAGATTATACAATAATCATGTTGAGGACATTCAAGGTCACGAGTAATCATGTCATGCATGACTGCAGTGCATTATTTCTAAGGGTAGTCGTGTCAAGTTCTTGCTTTGGGTTGCTTGCTGATCTGTATATTTTTATTTGTTCATAAATACATCGACAGAATAATCAAGGTCTCAGTAAGGGTTATTAGTCTTCGGTTTCGGCTGATAACCCTTACCTCAACCTTGGTTATTCTGGATATCACAAAAACCTCAACTGATAATTGTTTATTAACTGAGATAGGCCTTGCAATTTAAGAGAAAGGTTTCTTGTCTTAGATCACATCACAAGACTTGGCTTGGGCTTGAACCCAGACGCCATGTGATCTGGTGTTTAGCAAATTACCCTTTTGGTCACTAATTGTCATTGAGCAAAGAAGAAAATGATACTGATGATAAATCTGCCTAAAACTGCTCCATTGGTCATATAATGATCAGAAGTAGCTTTATATTCAGGGTGTCAAAGAGTATTTTATTAGTCTTTTTTCTAGATGGTTATCAATGATTTATAATATATATGATTTGTTTTCTATTTAATGGTAAGTAATCATTTTTCTTTAAGGATAAATCCTTCACCTGCACATTGTTCTTACCATTTGACCAATTTGACAAGTTGAAAACAAAGGTAACATTTTCTTATTGAATAAAGTGAATTTTAATTTAGACAAATGATTCTTACTGTGTTTTGTGGTTTTTCTGTTTTGCATCAAAATACGTTAAAAGGATAATATGATGCGCCAAACTCAATTATTTTTTAATAATGAAACTGTGGTGCTGTGCTGGAGGGAGAGTACAACAAGATAATTTGGTTTTATTAACTGAGTTGATAATATGAATTGGCCACCATAAAGACTTTGACACGTTATGGGTGTTAGCCCTTCATCAGAGCAAATGATAATGAAGACGAAGACTAACATGAGCTTTTAAACTCTTAATGGTAGTCAATCTACGTTATCAACTGATTTTATGAAACCAGACTTGAAATATTATCTATTGATCTTTCCATTTGGTGTTTTTAGGATGATGTCCTGACCTTTTTTAATGCAGAGTTCCCAGATTTCCTGAACCTCATGGGAGAGTAAGTTTTTGACCCTTTCACTCCCAAGATCTCATTAGTAATTCTCCTTAATGTCTACCATACAGTTCATATGATGTGAGTTTGGAGAATTTGGGATCAGATCAACTTAATCCCCTCATCGATATTTTTCTTTGTCATGGACTAGCATCCCATCCAGGGGGGAGAAGTGATACTCCTAGTCACTCCACGCTAGTTGGAAACCAGGATAAGCTTGGCTGGGTGGGCCATTAGGCTCCCAAGTACAGACTTAACTCTTTTACTAATTAACTATTGCCTATGTATCTCATGTAAGTTCGTGTATTTCCAAGTTATAGTACATGTAAGTATGTCACAGTCCTTTTTTCTTCTTCGATACCTTCGTAAGAAAAGTTTTGGGTTGACAAGGACAGTCTTTTTTAACCAGAAGCTAGTGATCTTCTATGGTTAATTTATGGAGATAAGAATTTACTTTTCAAGTTTGTGTGTATCTGTACTTTTTATTTTGCCAGAGAAAAACTGTTGGAAGAATTTTTCAGAAATCCAACCGGTCCTATGGTATCCATTAAGGTAAAATTTAAATGTTCCTCTTTTATTTAGTTGCATTATGCCTAGTATTAAAGAAGTCCTCCTAGATGAATCAATTTTTGTAAAATTGAATAACCCCTTTGAAAATTTGGAGCCTGAATGTGGCCTGATGTGACCAGGACAAAAAAATTGTGTAGCTTTCAGCTAACAAGCTGGACAAATGTTACGCTCTTGTTTGGACCATGACCAGCGGAACAAGGCTAACAGGAGTTGGGCAAGAGCAAGGCAAGAGCCAGACAAAGCTAAATACCTCTAAACATTTTTAAGTCCAATATTACATGCTCCTTTGTAAGCCATGTACAAAGTCTACAAATTGAAGCTGGCTCTTGTTACCAATACAATACAGTTAAATATAATTTTCACAAATAAGTTTGGTACACTAACATACATAACAGGTTGAGTAAGTTGATTCCTTTCAAATTAAATGACTTTGTCATTTCTAATTGCTTGCTTCTGTTTGTTTGTTTGTTTTTTTCCTTACAATTTTTTCTTTTTATCAGTGTAAGCCCTACCATGTTTCTGACAAACTTGTGATTATTGGTGATGCCGCTCATGCAATGGTTCCATTTTATGGTCAAGGAACAAATTGTGTAAGAACAAAAACTTACAAAATAAGTGTAGGATTACTGAATTATTAAATTATCAATAAGGGTTTCTGTTTGCTATTGATTTTCAAGGAGACTTTTCTAACGAATCTTTTCATATTTGAGTCCAAATTGTATGTTGCAAAGATTGATTTACATGAAAGGAAAGGGTCGGGATAAGAGGGAGCAAGTTTCATCTGTCATCTTAACCCTTTAACTCCCAGATCAAATTTGTAATTCTCCTTACAGTCAACCATACAATTCTTATAATGTTTGTTCAGATAACTTAGTATTGGATCAACTAATTATCCCCAAATTGATATTTTTCTTTATTCTCGTTACTTATCTTGTTGATAATGTTGATATTGTAAGGAGAAATTCTCCCTTGGTCACTCATGGGAGTTAGAGGGTTAAGGAGATGCAGCGCATCTTGCCATGTCATGCTAATCTACAGCAATAAAAAAGGTTAAGTCTATACTGGAGCTAAGTGGCCATCCCAGCCAGAGCTTATCCCAGTTTCCTTAGCATGATGCATTTACGAGTATCACCACTCCCTCTCCACCCCCCTGGATGGTATGCTAGTCCATTTCAAGGTCACCTCCCAGCATTTCATCAGACTTCTCAAACAACTTGCCAGTATTCATTTATACTCTCGGGTGGAGATAGGCACTATGAAAGGGAAGTGTTTTTCCCAAGAACACAACAAATTCATATTTACCAACAGCTAGGTTTTGTCACCTCATCTCACAATCTGCAATAACAGGAACTCATAAACTCATTTTCTAGATAAACTGACACTCACATGGATGGTTGCTCTCAAAGGAAGCAATAATTAGAGTTATATTTCACAAATATTCTCATTTTCTTTCTTTCAGGCATTTGAGGATTGTCTGGTACTTGATGGAATACTAGAAAAACATAATAATGACTTTGGTTAGTGCTGGGTTTTTTTTTAATAATTTATTTGCCATTACAGCAAATGGTTTGAACTGGGGGGTAACATATGATGGTGTAGTCTGATTTTTTGGGTGGGTGTAGTCCTGAGAAGGACTGTTGTTGGTAGAGGTTTTGACAACCTGAGCAGAGGTTGTCATCAGAGTTAGTGACTTCATAGTGACTGAAGAAGATGACTTCCGCTCAGGTTGTTGAAATGTCAGTCATCACTACGGACAACAGTCTTTCTCAGGACTACACTCACCCAAACAATCAGACTATGCTATCACAATTTATGTGCCATTGACAATTCTTTTCAAATTCACAGTCCCACCAAACTACATAACAAAAAGTACTACTCATGGATTTGTAGTAGCTTTAACCTTGTAGTACTAGCTGTTAAGTAATTATATTACATGTGTTCCAACATCATCATTGTTCCTGTCGCTTTTATTAAAATCATTACTGTCATCATTAGTATTGTTTAACTTGTTGTAATGGCTGTGTTGCTTTATTTAAAATTATCTCAGTCTGTGATTAATATATAGATTTAGCCAAGCCTAAAAGCAGAGCTCGCATTTTTTTTTTTCCCGCACGTCTCAAGGGCACAATGCCTTGCCCCAGCCAGGACTAGAACCCAGGTTGTCCGACTCGGAGCCCAGTGTACTGACCACTGGACCACTGGACAAAGCTGTGGCGTTGGTGTGCCCACGGTACAGTTGACCACACATGTTTATAGTAGCACCTTGTACAGTCGTACGGTCATGCGGTCGTACAACCAAATTTTTTCAGCTTGATGGGTTACTACTATTTTGTATAATTATGGGGCTATGCTCTGCAAGCTCTGCTATTAGAATGGTCATAATTATATATTACTAATTGATTATTACATGATCAGAATTCTAATATATTAATATAAAATTTCACCTTACACAGGTGCTGCACTACAAGAGTACTCAAGAACACGAAATAAGGATGTTGAAGCTATGTGTGATTTAGCAATGTACAACTACATAGAGGTATTCTGTCAGTTTTACATCAGTGACACATATGGCTGCAGCAGTCTGCTTCTTTTTGTTTTTACCACATTTCTGCATCATTTGTGCCCCATCACTGAAAAGGTGCATGGTATAATGGAATCTATTTGTCAATTATTTAAATTAAGTGTATTAAAAGTAATAGCTTTTAGAGGTCTCACACAGTGCTTCTTGCAGATGAGATCCTTGGTGACATCTCCAGTTTTCCTTATGAAGAAGAAACTGTTCAACTTACTCCACTGGCTGATGCCAAAAACATTTATTCCCCTTTATACCATGGTAAGTACCACAATGGATCTTTCTCCAGCCTGCAGCAATGGTGCTATTTTGGCTCACTAGAGCTTAATAGTTTCTTGGTGAAAATCATAGCTGCCATCGTTGAATTTTTCAGCAGGGAAAGGCTAGGAAGAGTGGAAGGGGAAGAACTTTGTACCAGGGGGGTGGGTGATAGTTAATAAGAAGGAGAGGGGAGGGTGTGGGTCTTTCCTAGCCCCTTCCTGCTCTGTCCACTAAAAATCAAAGCTGGCTGGGCAGATAAACCATTGGGAGCTTACCTAATGTGATGGTTGCATTACAGGCTAGTCATTTTCAAAACCTTGCAGTCTGTTTCTGAAGTGTTGTTCTGTTACTCAAATACTTTGCTTCTTCAGGTGTCGTTTTCTCAGATACCTTACAAGACTGTCATTGACAGATCAGAATGGCAGGAAAAGGTCAGTACTCAGATACAAAACGTTTCAATTTTCTTTTTTTCATTCTGAAGAGTGGACTCAAAATTCTTCTTGCTGACTACCGAAATAAAACTTTGTTCCTTAACCCTTTACACCCTAACATCAGCATGCATATTCTCCATACTGTTCTTAATATATTTCTTAAGGTGCTGACAAGGAGAATTTGTTAAACAATCAAGAGCTCCTTTCATTGTTGATCATTTCTCTTATTCTTGTGACTTAAATGAGTGATTCTGGGGTGATATTGTAAGGAGAAATTAGAAGCTCGTCAGTCTTCGGAGGAAAAGGGTTGAGCATGACTGTTCTATTAACACTGGGAAGTTGTCCTTTGATGGTAGTCATCACTTGCATGTCTGTCACCTCAAAAACAACAGGTTTTACATTGAAAATTAATCTCATTCTGTCTGTCAAAGGGTAATCATTGGATCTTGTAGCCCCTGGTGCAATTAAGTAAACACCTTGCAAAGACTGTTTAGATAACAGGGTGGACTGAAAATCGTGCCCATATTTGAATTATTATTGTTTCAGGTTGTGAAGAGGACTGTACTCATGTCAGCATTGATGGCTGGAATTGGTGGAGCTTTAATGGCACTGAGAATAGTGAAGAAAGACATCAAATTGTTTTGAAAAGTTATTTAATAACTGCATGATGTATGAATTATTTAAATAGTACATAATTTTAGACGCTGGGTGTTTTCTTTGAAAGATGCTATGACTGGGAGATTTCTAGATGAACCTAGACTGCTAAGTTCAAGCATTAAACTCTTTTCACCCTAACATCAGTATGCATATTCTCCATACTGTTTTCTAGACATTTCCCAAGGAGCTAGCTAGGAGAATTTGTTGAACAGTCAAGAGCTTCTTTACTTAGGGATCATGTCTGTTATTCTTGTGACCTTCATGGGGTGACATTATAAGGAGAAGTCAGCTGCTTGTCACTCTTATGAGAGACCAAGACAGAATTTCTCCTTATGATATCAATACAATATCAAGCAGACAAGTGATGAGAATAAAGAAAAATATCAGTCAGGGGATTACAAATTGATCCAATGACAAATTCTCCAAACTAACATCACAAGAACTGTATGGCAGACAGTAAGGAGAATTACTAATGAGATCTTGGGAGTTTAAGGGTTAAAGGGTTAAAAATCAAAAACCACCAAGACAAAAATTACAGTTCACACTTCAGGTTAAGCTGTGTAATATTTGAAAATACATTGATATTTAATTTGAATGTTCAAGAACAATTTTGAAATATAGTCTTTGAATTTTTTTCAACGCAGTTGCTCATTTGAATCAATTACATGTCATTGAATTGTAAATCAGAATCACTACAGCATTTGTATGTGGGAACATTTTAATACTCTAACAAAATTGTTTGACTGGGTGATGGGATGTAGTTAAAAATGCCAATAAAGTGAAATGGTAAAGTGATAGAGAGACTTCCTTAGAAGTTGCGTGGTTCTCATCACAAGACACTGAAGAGCATAACTTTTTAAAATGTTATGTTATGTAATATTCAAAATACATTGATATTTTGTTTGAATGTTTGAGAACAATTTTGAAATATCTTTGAATTTTGACAATGGAATTGTTCATTTGAATCAATTGCATTTCATAGAATTGTAAGAATCATTATGGCATTTGCATGCGAGAACATTTTAATACTTTAAAAAATTGTATGACTGGGTGATGGGATGTAGTTAAAATTTCTGATAAAGTGAAATGGTAAAGTGATAGAGACTTTCTAAGAAGTTCCGTGGTTCTCATCACAAGGCACTGAAGAGCATAACTACTTAAGAGGAAAATCAAAAATAAATAAAATCTTCATGGTTTCCCTGGTTTTAGAATAACTAACATGTCACACATCCACAGTCAATGGTTACATAATTAAAAGTCTGCAGAAGCTGAGAATGGGGCACACAACTGGAGCTCTTTCCAGTTTCCTTGTCATGAGGAACTGATCCTTCAGGAGTGACCAATGAGAAGAAAGAAAAATGTCACTGCAAGGCCATTTACAGTACAATTACAAGAAACTGAGATCTAGGTTGACCTTTTCACTTTCAAGATGAAAACATCAATTCTCTGCACAGTCTCTGATATATTTCTCATGATTTTTGTCTTTGGGAATTTGGTGTTAGATCAAACAATATCCTTAAATTTATGTTTTTCTTTCTTACCATGACCTTTTCTGCTTGGAAATGTATTGATATTGTAAGGAGAATTTAATCATTGGACACCCTTAGGAGTGCTAGGTTCATCATTACAGGTTACTTCTCAACATGTTATCAAGTTACCCATACAGTTTACTGTTAGCCCTTTATACACCTGAGTGAAGAGAGGAACTGTAAAGGAAATTTTCATGCTAATAACACAATTACAGAACCTTTAGCCAGCACTTGAACCTCATCTTGATGAAGAGTCCAAGTTACTCACCAGACTTTATCATGTCTCCTACATCACAATGAGACCATTTAGGAGACTGATCATTACTTTGAGGGAAGGGAGGCTGGTGCAAAATTAGGTCTGCCATTTCTGCTTTTTTCCCACCCCTCCCCCCCTCCTTTCACTCTTCTCACATTGTGTTCAAATGCCTCAAAATTCAACATTCCCAAAACAGATTCTTTCTTGTAACAAAAGTAGCTAATTGAAAATAGAATGTGATCTAAGCATCTTTGACTGCTTGTAAAAATTCATCTTTCATTTCTTTTAGTAGTGATGGATCATGCAACACCTCAATTGCAGTAAAACAAAGAGATTTGGCAGCAATAATAGTTTGATCATGAGCATACTGTGTGCCTGCAGCAGCTCGGAAGACATGGGAATGAAATGGCACTGAGCTGTCAATACAGAACTGAGCATGCAGACCAGGAACTACCATGGACACATTTCCAAAATCTGTTGATCCATCCACAATACTTTCTTGTTCTTCTCTTGATGGAAAGACCACACCCATTTGCCCAGCATACTTTTGATACAAATAGGCCAGCTTGCTGTTGGTGAGCACTCCTGCATGAGGAATGGGATCCCATGTTATTTCTACCGTGCAATCAGTTGCTTTTGCAGCTGCTTCAAAGCAAGCATTCACCTTAGATTTGAGGACTGCACATTCTTTATTCTTCACAGTTCGCACCCAGAATTCAAGCTTAGTTTGCTCAGGGATGATATTAGGCTTAACTCCTCCCTCACTTATAATGCCATGTACTCGCCACGTTGGTTTCATCTGTTGCCTGAGCAGGCTTATAGAGTTGTACGCCATGACTGCAGCATCAAGAGCATTGCGTCCTTCCCATGGGAAGGCTGCTGCATGAGCTGCCTTCCCTTTGTAGACAATTTCAGCTTTCTCAAGAGCTTGGCTCACGTAGAATGCCATATTAAAAGGTGCAGGATGTACCATGATGGAAAAATCTACATCTTTGAAACAACCACTACTAACCATCTGCACTTTTCCACCACCTCCTTCCTCAGCAGGAGTTCCCATGGCAATAAGCTTAGCGTTGAGTCCACCCTCGATAGCTGCTTTTATCCCCAGTGCTGCCCCTACCCCTGGGGTTAATAAAGAAACAGTTAATGTAGAACTCTTAAGGTGGCTGGGAACAGGTATCTGAGATGAGATGCAAACCAACTACATTCAAAGTGCTCAAATACCATCTTTCCCTCTTCACAGTCAAACCAATTTCATGCTTATGTCCACCAAACAATTGAAATGACAATCATTATCATTATGCTAACGTCCCATGAAAGTCCAGTTTTTTATTTTTGGGGACCATCTTGGGAAATTCCTCAATAGATTTTCCCAAAACTTCAGAATTTTCTCTTTTGAGATAAGACTTCACATCTGAGTGAATTTGAACAAATTAAATTTAGCCAGTTTAAAATTCTGATGCTGCTAAGATTACAGTTGATTTAACTGCTGTGACTTCATACTGTTCATGGAGAACTGTTTCCAGTTACCTTAAAACAAAGTCACAGATGCCCTGGTCATGTATTGAGTATGGTATACAAGACTCAGTATCAATTAGTTTCAAAACAACAAGCACAATCTTTACTTTATTTTTACTCTTTCTTGTCCTGAGTACAAGTTCAACCTAATTGAATGGATGAAGTAGAGGGTACTGACTACCTGAGTATATCTCTTCCCCCACTTCCTGAGGCAGGTGTAATCCCAGGAACTGCAGAACCAACCAAGTTCAGTGATGGCCAGAGCCAGTCATAGAGACTGAAAATCATCTCTCATGACGGGCTGATTGCCATATATTTGCCCCTTCTCTGGCTTTGAGCTACATAATGACTACAGAGCAATTCCCAGGGTGGAAATTGAAAACATGCCAGTTCAGTGGGTCAATCAAGTTACATTTTGCTTTTTCTTTGGGGGTAATACCGTTTGTTATCGGGTGTGAAGTCTGATAATAGAAAAATGTGAAGATCTAGTTAATTATGCTGTTAAATAAGTAATTATTAGGTAATTTCGGCAAAACTCTGAGTTCGTAGTTACCCGCTATGGCTATGAGATTATGCCCACATCCATGTCCGACCCCAGGTAATGCATCGTATTCAGAAAGCACGGCAACCGTCGGACCTTCGTTCTCAGCTCCAAACACCGCCCGATAAGCTGTTGGCAAAGTGTAACTCCTTGTTACCTCGAAACCTTGTTCCTCAAAAAAGTCGCACAGAATACCATGGGCAAAATGTTCTTCGTAGCCAAGCTCTGGTTTTTCCCAAATCTTCAAGCTCAAGGCTTGAAGATCTTTGGCTTTACCGTCGATCACGGGTGAAGCGAGGGTTATGAAATTTGCTAGCTCGTCGGCCATGTCGAAGACAAATCGCGTGACTAACTGGGGTGAAGTGTGTTTGACCTTATCATTTATATCCCAAACACGCATGCGCATTCTCTTGGCGCTCCACTGACGTCACTTGTTCCCAGGGGCAAGGATCATTTTACGAACGCCAGCTAATTTACCTGGCGTCCATATTGCCTACGCTGTTGTTGTCTTGAGCGTAAAATCGACTTAATATTGAAGCCTACAATCAGAGGAAAAACATTGTAGTAGGTTGTTTCGTCGACGGAAAAACCTTTTTGCTCTAACAAGATGCATTTGAAAGGATTCCGTTCGATTTTTCTTCACGGCATCATATTGGCTTTCCTCTTCGAAGTCTGTTCTTGTGATGATGACTTCAGATGTCCGTACAATATTCACGTGAATAAGGGACAGATCATTGAGGCCAAAGCATCTGTGGACAATGGTGCCTCGTTTTTGAAACATTATGAAGTTCGCGATGCTCGAGAGTGTTACAAGTTGTGTTGCGAACGAAGAAACTGCGATCTCGCGCAAATGCAATACAAAAATTATACGGATGGATTCTTCTCGGAATTACAGAAGGTTTGTTTTATGTTCCACTGCGGAAAGCCCAGTAAATGTCTCTTTGGACAACACGATCACTACGCTACGATATCTTACGACAGACCAAGTGAAGAACTATCGTACATAGACGGCAATCAGTTTGGACCTTCATCTGTTAAAACTGGGGAAGCAAAATTGGGCACCGCGAAAGAAATTAAACCTTCTGTTCGCGAAGGTAGGATTTGTGGTTTTTATGTCGTATGTTATGTAAATCGCTTAAATGTTTTCTAGCATCAGTTACTTGAAATTGCGATAGCAAAATCATTACTATTATCTGATTATTCGTACAGTCTCTCCACAAATGGAAACATTTCTCACAGTCGTGTACAAGGGACACGTATTCTTAATTCGCAGGGGTATTTCCTCGTTCCAGTCTATAATTTTGATATCAGGTTTAATCCTGGTCCTTAAGTTCCTTATTATTTCACTCGAGATGAGTGAAGGGTCAACAGAAACATCACACTTTGAAATGTTCAAAAATATAAATATAATATTTTGTCCTAATTTTCGTATTTCGAAACACCTGCAGATCTCCTTGGTGAGAGTGCTTGAATATAGTTCGCACTAGTAACCGAGAATCTTTGTTTATCTTTGTTTTTTGTGCTCTTTCTGTTGATTTATTTTTAGCGAAAATTGATTTCAAGGCTGTTTTTCTAAGATTTATTTCCTTTGTAGAAGTTAAGCGTCGTAGTTTTTGCTCAAAACTCTCTCCAATCCTGGCAATTCGGACTATTCAAACTGTCTCTGTGAAGTCAGTTAAAGGAGTTGCAATGTTGTCTTTCTGCACATTTCTGCTGCAGATTAATTGTACTTTTTCACATATAAAATACGTGACAGCGGTAAAAGGCCCTGTAAGACCTTCTAAGTGGTACAAAACTACTGAAAATCCTAGCTTTTGATTCCTGAAATGGCAGATATGGTTAAGGCATTGGAATGAGATTTTGTCCACAAAAATTTTTTCCACATAATTGTGTGCTCATAAGAATTATGCAGCCAATAGTTATTTTGTAGTTCAGTATGCTATTCTTTGTCTTCTTGAGCCCTCTCACACATAGCTCCTGGAAATAACCAAGTTTTATACAGATAATCAATTTATGCTTTGTAACCTTACCAAATAGGTGGTCTCCTGTTCCTGTAGAATCAGCAAATTGTTGGCTGGGTTTTTTTTTTTTTACCTTTTATATCCTAAAATTCACATTCTCTGCTCTGTTCTCTTTATTTTCCTTGTGATATTGACAAGAAGAATTTGTTTGACAATTAGAAACTTCTGGAGTTGGTGATCAATTCCTTTATTTTCTTGGCCTTTATATTTGATTTAGAGATGATACTGTAAGGGGAGATTATAAGTCTGTTTCTGTTAGGGGATGTTGGGTTAAATGTTAATTTTTCCTTGATTTATCTACTAGGTAATACAAAAGACAGAGTTCAAGAATCATCACAATACAAACCACCTTCAAGACACTACACGACTGAGGAACAAGACAAATATGAAGAGGAAGAAGATTTAAGGAGTCCTTGGAAACAGAAATCCTATGAAGGGAGTGCTGTGCATTCAAAACAACCTTTTGGAAAAGATAGGTATCATAGCAAGAACACACATGAATCATTGTCAGCGAAAAAACCGTCAAGGCCAGTTCTAGATAAAGATGAATACTCAGAAAATTCTCAAGAATCTCAAAAGCCTTATTACCAAGTTACCTCAAATCATCCTGATTTCCCTACAAAACACCAGCATGTAAACATGAAAGGACCTGTAAGACCTGGAAACCCTGTGAAAGAAGTGGCTAAGGAACCAACTGAAGAGAAGGCAACAACACACAATTCTGATGACGTGGATAGGGAACTTGAGAGAAAACTAGAGGAACTTATGCCAAAAACAGACACTCAACAATATCAGCCTTCTGGTGGTGACACGAAGGCTGTGCCCACAACTGCTAAACCCACCTTTCACCAGTGGAGGCAATTTGTTGACAATAACCCAAATTTTCCATATACAATTCCAAGCGAAGTAGAACATCCATTAGAACAAGCAGTGGAGAAGCAGACAGAAAAACCTGTTGAAAAACCAGTGCAGAAAAAGCCAGTAGAGATTCCTGCACAAAAACAAGTTGATGTGCCTGTGCAGAAACCAGTGGAGGTGCCTGTGCAAAAGCCAGTACAGGTACCGGAGCAGAGGCCAGTACAGGTACCAGTGCAGAGGCCAGTAGAGGAAACTGTACAGAAGGTACCTGTACAGAAGAAACCAATAGAGGTACCTGTACAGAAGAAACCAGTAGAGGTACCTTTACTAAAACCTGTGGAGAAACCAATACAAACCCAAGTACCCAAACCTTGGCAGGAACCAACAGAACCAGAGAAAGAACCACCCAAGCCAACAGAACCTATAATAATTACAGAAAAAGCAAGAGTTCATGATGGTATGGAATTGATTCCAATATTTACCCCTCCTTTTCCCTTTATCCACACTGTTGCTCCTTTTTTCACAACCCTCTCCTTTCCTGCTCTTACTTTAACACACACCTTCCTGTCTCAACCCCTTTCCTACTCCATTCCTTTCACCCTCTCCCATTTTCTCCCTCACAATCTGCTCCACTTAAACTTTCATACAGTTCTTAAAGTTCCCTCTTCCCTTATTTCTTCCCTCAAACCCTCTCATACTTCTAGTCTCTTTTATCCTCTTTTGTTCTTTTTTCTCTCCCCTTCTTGTCCCCTTTCTCTCCAACTTTTCAGTCCTCTTCTCTGTTCTTTCTGCCCTTCTAAGCTCATAGTCTTCCTGACCCCACCCTTGATTCCTTCCTCTGCTTATAGTTAACCCCTAAAAATCTCTTTTAGCCACCTTGTTCTTTCATTTCCTTGCTTCCAGTTCCATCCCTCTCTCTTCCTAGAGCTTTTGTCAAGGTCCAAACCTTAATGTTGATATATGTGCAAGAGCTTCTCTTAATTAATTTCTTTTTCCTCATGCTTAGAACCCAAACAGCAACATGATGAGCGTCCCTTGATTGAAGTGCCAATCCAGAGCAAAAACATCTCTGATGTGGTGGTTATTGAAACACACAGGCTAAAGATCATTGAGAACAAGGCAGTTCTTCCACTAGCAATATTCCTCGTGATTGCAATTTTATTGCTGTTTGTTGTGGCCCTTCGTTTAAGAATTGTCAAAAGCAGATTAAAAAGGCGGCCATTTGCAACAGATGATGCTGATTATCTAATCAATGGCATGTACTTGTAACATACTGCTAATGGTGATCAAGCTATAAATACATATATTAGTCATTCTTCTGTGAAAACACCATGTTTTCATATGGATAATTTCCTTACATGATAGACCCTCTCAGGGCCAAGTTCCAATATTACTATTATTACTAAGGTGGCCTAATACAGATTTGTGTGAGCTTGGAAGCATTTATTTAATTGCCACACAGAGATTTCAAGAAATTTACATGGTTCCAGTACCCGTAAAAAAGGTTTCTTTGTTCAATTGCAGCTTTATGTTAGGTATTTTTATTCAAAGAAAAAGTATGCGTGATCGTGAGGTCTGCCAAAAAAGACTTTGAAAATTAACAGGGCTTTTTCTTGAAAATCTTGTACACTTCTGACCCGAAGTAATACAAAATGCATCTGTTAGAAGTCAATTTTCTGTAAATAGTAAAGCTGCATTTGCCATGGAAACAGCAAGCACTTTACAGAAAATGCCCAAATATTACACTCTTCATGGTAACACTTGTACATTTTATTGAAATTGCTTCATAAGGTGCGTAAGTTAGGGACATGGTTGAAATTTGTAATTCAGATTATTTAAGCTGTTGGCAAGTATCACTTCCAGAAGTTGGTTACATATTTTTTGAACTGTTGACCTTTGTTGCCCTGTGGATTCAATTTAGAAATAAGTTAAAGAAGCATTTGGATTCTCATTTCTTTGTGGCAAATGATTACTTTATCCATATGAGGCAGAGTACACAACTGATGATTCATATGAAATTAGGTGCATTTCTCTTTGAATGAAAGTAGAAATTAGCACCCTAGAAACAAAGGGTGGCAATTGTTTTGGAAACCTAGCAATCAGGGTTCTCCAGAGTTATCTAACACCTTCATTTTAATTATTTATACTTGTAAGAGGAAATTGTACAATTGTAGTCAGTATTTGCTGCAATGGCACAATTCTTATTGTGACTCAAAACTTATGATTTGGAAAAGGACTTTCTCTTTTTTCCAGAGATCTCAGATCTAACATAATTTGTGGTAATGCTGTGTAAAAGCTTTGGTCTTAACAAAACATTTAGTTGGTAATAAGATTATTATGAGTTGTACATACTCTTTAGGAAGAAGGATGTAATAATTTTCTGAAAAATATCAATGTAAGGGTATTGTAATTTAATACATTGCCAAGAACTGTAAGTTCAGCCAGCATTTTTCTGATAAGTGTTTAGCTAAGGAGGAACTAGAGTATGTATTCATGACTGAGAGGTTGATTCAAATTTTGAAGGCCATTGTAAGATAATAAACACAATATGGCTGTCAATAAATTCAGAGAAATGTGGAAAACAGACATATTTGAGAAGATTGAGGCAAGAAGGACAACATTCAAACAATTTTCTTTGGTAGCATTCTTTGAATGTAACAATGCAGTTATTCACTATCTAGCAAAAATATTAAGCTGCAGATTTTTGATCAATTAAGGGGCAACATCTGAATAGATTCAAAATGGGAATTGAATTTATATCGAATTTATTTTCATAGTAAAATATTGATTCAGTTAGATATTGCTGTCATCAAACATCACTTATTTCTTAGCTATTGAGTAATAAAAAAACATGTATTTTCCCTTCAATGATGGCTTATCAGTTGAAACAAAGTAGTAGTAACTTGTTTCATTTGTCTGTAGGCAGATTTGCAATGCAGTGAATAAAGTTAAAATTCATGTGAGAACTTGAGTCTTATCTTGCTTTGAAGTCAGTGAGCTAGAGATGTAACTACATTCTTTGATAACTTCCACAAATGGTCAAAACGTGCCATACATAATTGATACTACAGAGATCAAAATTGTATCAACAGGTATTGCAATGTCTGGTGGTTCTACCTTGATTAAATTTGAAGGCATCTTGGCAATTCTTTACCCATTATGCAACACTTTAAATTCATACCTAATAGTCCAGGGAAAAATGGTTCTTAAAAGCATGATGACTGGACATGGAATGGTATAATCCTTAATTTATGCAATCTATGAGAAATAATACATGACTCATTAGAAATCTAAGGAGGAGCAATTCTTGAAGGAAAAATGAAATTAAAATTCTTAAAATTGAACTGGTCACAAAACAAATTTACTTAACTCTGTAGTGATATCCAATCAAAACTATTCCAGTATATGTATCAGTTCAGCAAAGTGGGTCAGCAGATTGAGCAGAAAAACACTAAATTCAGAACACTTTCATAAGAACGTGTCATTCCTTTTAACTGAAGATCGACTTACTTAGCAATTATGCTATTGATAGGTTAATCATGCAGTTAATGATAAAATCAAATGCTAAACAATAAATTAATGATGCTGATTGTCAACCTTGTCATAAACTGAAATTGAGACCAGTTCAACTGAGAATTTTTAGAGACAAGTGATAGCAACACCAAGGAGTGTTGGTGGGTCAGTGAAAAGGATGTAGGAGTGATTGCAGTACAAGAATTTTGCCCATTCCACAGCCTGGCTATTTTCATCAGTAAAATGCAGGCAGGTATCAACTTACTTTAATGCTTTCCAATCAGAGCAAAGATTACCACATTGATTTTTTAATCATTACACTGTGAACAATCATTAAATGAGGAAATGAATTAATTTGTGTCCATGGACATTAATTGATGACTAATTGAAAATCAAGGGTCCATCAGCATTTTGATCAGAATGCCTCATAACAGGCTATTCCAACCTGTAAAAACTTGGATCAACTTAAGGCTATAAGTTTCTCCTTCAAGGGTGACCATGACTGCTTAATGGAGAAGAAATTACAGTAATCAAGGGGAATTAACAACTGCATAGCTAAGTGGAGGTTGGGTGCCTGAAACATCCAGGAGCTTCCACTATTGGCAGCCAGCTCATAGACGGAGAGTTCTCCCATGGCTGGCAAATCCTGGCAACCCAGCCATAAGGGCCCACACAGGAAAGGGAAACAGGCACCCATCATGCTGAATAAACAGTGGAAAGAGGTGGGAAGGGGTGGGGAAAACTGCCTGGATGTTGAGCTGGCACTCCTCGCCATGCTGCAAGTTCATGCCCAAAGCACATGCAAGAACACCTCAAACAAAGAGCACATGAAATTCTGATGAATGCACATATGCAAAAACCTCTTACTACTATGGAGTGCTAATGCTCTCAGTAGTCAGCAGCAATGTTAACTCCATTAAATTGCATTTAACTGCACAGAATTTTGGGACGGACAACTGACCGCTTAGCACAGGGTGACCACTTAACATTGTCACACCCAATACAGGTTCCACTGTATTTCTTTAGGGCCCAGTTCAGACATTGTGCTTCCAGCATGCCAAACTTAATTGCAATTACAAATTTAGGTTGGACTATAGCACAGCAGAGGAGTGACTCTGATTGAGACATTGGGCTAATGTTGTGCAGAATTCAGCATTTACTGAAGCACCCTCAGTTTTTTTTCTTCAAAGTGTTAAAAAAATGGGTCTTTTATCAAGTTCCATGAACAAACATTAAATAATCTTGTGGTAAATAGAGACTTTTAATGTGCTTCCACAGGGAGAAGTCCTGAGGGCCAAGCAATGGTTCACCAAGTAAATGATTCAGATTAAGAGAGCTTTGACGGTGAATGCTGCTGATCAACTTGCCATGGTAACGCCATATATTTCACTCAGCTCTAAAAGTCTTCTTGAGTCTTTTCTCTTTTCTTCTTCCACTTCTTTGTTAAAAGTTTCTCTACTAGAGGTCACATCTTCCAGTCTTTTGATGAGACTAGATGCTGCATTTTTTTCTTCCTCCCTAAGAAACTTTAGAGAAAGATCAAATCTGTTTGTCTTGGAAAGTCCTATTAGGATGTTAAAAATATCACTGGAGTCCTTTTCATTCAGACAATTGTTGAGAATCAGGAGAAATTCTCCTAAATGCCCCATACTTATCTCTGCTTTGAAAATTGTTCTGAGCTCATCGCCTCCAAGTTTTAACAAAAGTTGGTATTTTTCCTCTTCTGTTTTGCAGTAACGTTTCCAAATTTTTGTAAATTCATGAGCAGTTTTAGGATTTTTTGATGAAGTAGACAATGTGGCACTTTGTGCTGTTGGTGTTGCTACCACTGTCTGTGACTTGCCTTGAGCATGTGGATTCCAGGGTTGTTTGCGTGTATTTTCACCTGTTGGGATGTAATTTAATATAATTTTCAGTAACTGGGTTACACTTCTTTGGTCAAGAATGAAACTTCTGCAAAGAGAGATCAATGCCAGACAAGTCTGACCATGTGCCACATGACTTATCCTGCTAAAGCTTACATCTACTTTGGTTACCTTACTGCACCTATCAATGGTTTGCCCCAGGATCAAGGGGGAGGGGGTTGCCCTTGAGAAATTAACCATCAGGACCCCCTTTTGAAATTTATGGACAGCCTCAGGGTCAGGAATTTGACCTGGCCACCATCTTGGAAGACCAAGTGAAACTGGAGACAAAATTTTTCTGTTGAAATTTGTAATGTATACAACCCCTAGGGTTGGAATTTTGACATATAATAGAAAACCAGGGGTGGAAAAAATGACTTTTGAAAATCTGAAAATGTTAAATACCCCTGGGGTTTCCCACCACCCCATTCTGAGGCAAACCAATGATAGGTGCATATGTTGGCCCAGTAGGTCCCCTGAAATTAAAGGTGCTGTTCAGTGACCTTGCCAATACACACATAGCAAGTACCAAGTATGCTATGCTCTGGGTTTGTAGTGACAACTGAACACATGGAGGAACAATAGACTCAGGGAGACCCAGCCAAATTTCTCCGCCACCCAAAGGAATTACACAGTTTACCGTTTTTGTGAAACCCAGAGGTTCTTCACAGAAGCAAATACTCTGAAACCTTGGAGTCAATCTCGCCCAACTAAACTGCAAGTCAGTTTTAAACAAAAGGAAAAAAATATATACAAAATAAATATGGGAATTTTTCCCATCACTTGATCTTATCCAGTATTGAGGGACATACTTAAACTAGTCCCCCTTCACAAACCTGTAATATCTTTTCTCTCCAAAGGTTTCAAATGAGCTGCGCTGACAATGTCTCGAAACTCTTCATAGCTACCAACTCTCTGGTTCACAGCTCGAAATTTCGCATCGTTCTCTCGAAGATATTTTTCGTCCGCTTCCACAGCTAAGGCAAGCTCCTTTTCAAGTTTACGAAAGTCGATTCCTTCGTCGTCATTCATAGTTTTACACCAAAACAACCGCGAACAGCGATCGACAATAAATCAATAAAACAGCCCTCCTGAGCTTGATTCGTTACCAACCAAAATTTTAGCGCGGAGACTGGAAACTTGTTTCATGCACGCGGCATGAATTAGGGGTTACTCCTGGAGATTTACCCTCCCCTCCCTGACCCCAAAAATTTCACCGAACCAAAACGGTAGGACTTCTAAAGATTCGTTAGCCTCCTTCACCCCCAAAGCGAGCTGACTCTCTCTGCTTAACGCTTAAAAGTTTCTGGAGTGCGAAGAAACGCTCTGGCCTTACGCTAATCAGGGCTTGCCGGGCTAGGAATCCTACCACTAAATTGTTTAATCTGGGCAGGCAGTACACTAAGCCCGGTGTCGTGTTTTCATACAAGGTTTACAACTCCTTGCAAACCTCAGATTTTACCATTCGTTAAACCTAAGTCTAATTTTAATCAACTTCGTTTGATCGACTGATTTAAGAGTCGGTGTCAGATTTATTCATAATCACCCCTTACACAATTGCACAATAGGTTACTGAAAGATTTCGATTACTCGACCTTTGTGAAACTGGAGCAGCGTCCAGTTTTATTTCTTTACTCAAGGAGTTTTAGATAATCAAGTAATTGAAGTGTCCTGCGCGTTTTAACATTAAGTGAACAATCGACCCCACCGGAAGAGTAAATGTTTGATCATTGAGTAAACAAAACTCAACAATATGCATCAAAATAATTACAAAAAAATTAGCAATTCTATGGTCATTACGCTCTCAATGGAGTTTCGAAAACTCCATTAAGTTTATCCAGCTATAAAAAGATTTGTATTCAAGAGGTAACAAGCTTAAAATCATGCTGGAGAAAAGCCAACATATTGCACTATTTGGAGTCAGAATCTTCAATCGCACTTAGTATGAAAGCTCAGTCTGATAAAAGGAAAAAACTTAACATTTTTTTAGGGTAGGACCCTATAATTAAAAGGACAATGAGCCATCCATACCATTGGACAGTTGAGGATTGACAATTGTTTCATAAAATCCCTTGAATTTCTATTCTGAGGTTGTTTTCCCAAGTTTTTATTTCGTTTTACCGGCAAAAAGGCAAAAGAACTTTGAAGACTGAAAAATAATACCGAGACTGTGACAGTTCTTTGAAACAACTTCAATTCTGTTGGAGGATAGTTTCATTTGTTGGTTTTCGCCAGTCTTCAGCATAGAATTTATGTCATCAGAAACTGGGAAGAACTGACCCACAGAGCTCTCTTCAAAGTACGAGAAATTCAGAATGGCCTCGGATAAAATCAGAGTCAAACGACTTTATGCGATTCATTCGAAAAGTTTGAGTGAAAACGAAAGTTCTTCATCGACAACATCTCATTTCCTCCGCGTTAGGGAGAGAAGTGGCAGTGTATCGTCTACATTCTCCCTGGCTCGTATCAAAAAGGACAAAAACGATGGAAAGGAAGGCTTGGCAAAGATGGCGAGAAATGAAAACGACAGCTGGTTTTCAAGCCTCAAATTGCAGTCGAGACGCGTTTTCAGTGGCGACAAAAACGAGGGAGACCCTGGAAACGCGCCTTGTGTGGAGAAAGACCACATAGTAAAAAGATCCCGCAGTGGTAGTGGTTCCATGATTTTTTCTGCTATAAAGTTCAGGAAAAATCTTACATTTTTCAACGCACAGGGTTACCCAATTAATACACCTTCGTCTGAGCCGCTTCAAAGAAAGAATTTTATTGCAGTAACATCTAACAACAAAGACATCGAAATCATCAAACAAGAAAAGCCTCGACATCGCACAGTCTCGTTTTCAAGTCGGTCGCTACTTCAGTCATCAATAGCTCGTAATGACGTCTTAGAGCTAAGCAGCCTAATCGACAATGATAGGGACCTGGACCTGAATGAACCGGATGATCTGGGCATAACCATGATGCACCGTGCAGCAATCGATGGAAGCTACCGCTGTCTGAACTTTCTTCTCTCTCGAGGCGCAGATGTGAATGTCACTGATTTTCAAGGCTGGACTCCACTTCACGATTCTGTTTTCCATGGGCATATCCGCTGTGTGGTTATTCTTCTTATCTCGGGCGCAAACGTAGAGGCGGAGACGAAGGATTTTCTGAAGCCCATAGAAATGGCAGAGGACGAAGAAATGATTTTAGTGGTTGGTAGAGCAATGGCCACGAACAGAACTGGACAAAATCCAAATTATGACAAAGAAACTCTCGTGTGAATACAATGAATAGTATATATCACAAATTAAAACAACTCAGATGAGTATTGTGATTACACATCGAAAATTTGTCTCTTAATTTACCTGTCGAATCTACTTTCAAATTCGTACGCAATTCAACTTTACCTTTTGCTTAGCTTTACTTTGAGTTCTCATTGGTTCTTAAGATTATATTCGTTTCATCTGATCGGTCGTTGTGATAAATTTAATTTGGTTTTGTTTTTACGACAACCAATCGAAAAGCGCCCTAACAAGTTAGTGATTATCATCCCTCTGCTGGAGTTGCAGGGAGTAATTGTGCTCGTATTCTTGAATTCTGTTCAACAGAATTATCAAAACAAGAGGCATCAGACAGTTTCTCAAAAAACTGTTTTAGAACAAAATAAGTGTCGAAAATCTCTTTCGTTGTTAAATTACAAATTACAACTTTCACCTTTCTCTCCCTCCTGCAGAAAAAAAAGCATGCACGTGCAAATAGTAGGTTACATAACAACACCCAATTTTGGAAATCACGTGCGCCACGTGCGACAACAAAAAATATTACAAAGTTTGTAATATTTTTTGTTGTCGCACGTGGCGCACGTGATTTCCAAAATTGGGTGTTGTTATGTAACCTACTATTTGCACGTGCATGCTTTTTTTTCTGCAGGTTTTTTTGTGTCTTTATCATGGATGGATTTTTTTATATCGATAATGGAACGTTCAAAGTGCTTTCAAGTGTTTTCAAAAGGGTTAAGAGGATTTAGAAAGGGTTGAATAGTCTAGAAAGAGATCGCCTCCTCGTGTAATATAATTAATTGGAATATATCGTTACCAACTTAGCGATAATTTATCGAAGATTAAGGGCATGGTAACATAACGGTAAATTTGACAGAATATATTTTGTGCAGTATTTGGAGTAAATCTCATCCGAGTTGGTGAACACGAAAACTCTTTTCGACATTCTTAAGATAACTTAGCAGTTGTATATTGTGTGGGCAGGGAAAATAATTCTTTATGTTGTTAAGACCGTCGCTATAAACTGTGACATTTCGAGCGGTACAAGCAAAAGAACCAACAGACTAGTGGGCGAAACAGGAAGGACATAAGTACAAGTTGTCGCGCCAGGAAAATTCTAGGACTGTTCATTAGACTAGACCCAACGATAATCGTACTTCTGTATAAGCTTTTGTTCATATTTGAAAACAGCGGAAAACATAAAGAGATTTTTTGTAATAGTCGAGATAAAAAGGTCGGTAAGTTGAAAAAGCCCCACAATAAAATATGTGGGTGAAAAACAAAAGTTTACTTCTCGAAGCTTTAGCAAATTTGCATATAAGTAGCAATCGAAATGGAAGTGATTTCTGGAGCTATCTCGCTATTTTTCTGGAATAAAATCTTACCAACCATGGTGATCAGCTTTATGAAATTAAGTGTATATTCAAGGTATCACTTAGATAAAAGAGGAAGTCGGTTTTAGCGATGTTCTCTTGAACCAAACATAATACCAATTACACTAACAAGCACACACATTAATTCACTTTGATCAAAAGGTGGAGTTCTACTTAATTTCCAAACACTTTTTCGCGTTAAGGGTGTCATGTCGAAACTGGTCTTGACTCAAGGAAAGAAAACCGCACTATTAATTTCTTAATAAGCTTTCCGTGATTCAAACCTTTTCAATAAACGGTGTTTAACTTTAGCCAGGAACTGAATTTTTATACTGAATTGGTGATTACGAATGACTCCAGGGATTTGCGTCAGTGGACTAATACCATAACAATATAGTCTAGGTGTTTGTTTATCATAATAAGTCATCTCCGGTCGTCAACGTATATAGTGTCCATGAACTGCCTGGCACAGACAAAAGACAAGCTACGGTCGAGTTGCAAACCAGAAACAGGCGGTTTTGAAAACAAAATCCCCTAAGGCGGAGGAGGTCAGATTCAAAACTGACAAAGCAAAGATCTTGGGAAAAAAAACGCGAGCCTTTTTTTATCTGCTGTGGTGACGAAAAGTGTGATTGATATACTTGTCACATGATGTTAGCATTACATAGGGCATCTCAAGAGGGCAATTTAATTCTGGTGTCGATTCTGCTCGAGAGAGGGGTAAACGTAAATGCGAGAGATAGACAGGGGCTAACTCCTCTCCACATAGCGGCAGAGATTGGAGACAAGTTATTAGCAGAGCTGTTATTTCAGCGAGGAGCGGATACGTGTTCGGTATCCGCTAGGGGAAATATTCCTCTAGACTGCTCCAAGGATGAAGAAATGACTTTGATGCTTGTACAGATGATGGCTAGAGCGGGGAAAGCAAAAATAGCCAAAGAGAGATTACAGTTTGAAGAATTGTCCGAAAAGGCCCGGCAAAAAGCCGCTAAGACATTAGACTTGAAAAGCCCCAGAAAAAAGGGACCTCCAGTGCCATTTTCTCAGTTTTGGAACAAGCGTTCCATAGCAAGCTTTCTCGGATTGAGAGAGGCTGATTCAAGGCTTTCAAGCCTGTCAAACATTTCTGACTGTAGTAGATTCAGCGAAAGTGAGTCCGGCTTTTCTGAATTGGACAAATCTCCTGAGAGCACATCTATGGAGTCTGTACAGACGAACGAATCACTTTCAAGCGGCTTTGCGTCCGTGGACGAATTTTCACCGCAATCATTTAATAGGCGCGCGACTACAGCACTAACGAAAGAAGAATTCGCAGCCTTGAACCGTTCTCCTTTCATGCCACGGCGCACTCGTGCCGTATCGGACCCGCCGCGAAAACGGACAATTAAACGATCATCAACGTGGAATATCAGCAGTAAAAGTGAGAGCACATTCCCGCGTTCTGCGCTGAAAAGACGGGTGGAAAAGTGTGTGACTTTCCCGGCGGATGTTCTCTTAGACATTGCAATCAAAAACGACGATTTCGTTGAAACTTGCCACTTGATAAAATCGAAAAAAGTCGACTTTAATCGCGTTGGATGCAATGGGCTCACACCGCTTCATCGAGCGGCTATCGAAGGCAGTCACGAATGTCTGCAACTGTTAATTGACCTCGGAGCAAACGTGAACGCGCGGGATGGCTCAGGATGGACACCTCTTCACGACGCTGTTTATCACGGAAATTTCAACTGCGCACTGGTTTTATTGAGCGCGGGTGCTGATCCAGAAGCTGAAACGGACGATTTTACATCGGTGATAGAAATGACAGACGATGATAAAATGCTTCTTGTCGTTGGAAGAGCGTTGATTCTAGCATTCAACAGTGGGTACCAAAACGAAATATCTTTCTGCGAGCAGGAAGTACATCATCCTGTTTTTGACCCTGATAGGGAAACATGCGTTTAATTGAACATTTTCTAAGGCAGCTGGTTCGATATTGAACGAAGATCTTTGCATTCATGTTTCTATGTAAACCTCTTCGAAATCTTCTTGTATAAAAGTCAAAGTACGCGATGGAAATTACTTTGATATGTAAAATAAAATGTAATTTATTGTATAAGCGATATAAAGAATCGTTGAACAAATACTTTTGTCTGATCGTCTTCGAGTTTTTACACGCGCTAGAAGGGTTTGTTGGGCTCATAAAAGATCAATTATATCTAAAGGATATATCAAGATATATTTGATTTAATTCCAGAAGTTTCCCATTACTGATAACGAGCGCGCCATAGATTAAAAGCTCTGATGGTGCCGACAAATTGGTTTATCTATTTACAAAAACCATTACAACAAGTGCAAAGTTTGTTCAACTCAATTATCGCTGAAGCTAAAGCGACAAAAAAATCCCAAACACTCAATTTTCTTTAAAAACAACCTAACAACCTCTTAATGAGGTTTAACTCTACGGCAAGTGTGTCTTTTGTCACTTTATATTTGTCTTGTATTCGACCAAGCAGTCCAAAACAAGTGTTAACCAAATATTGCCAACTTAGAGATAACAGCGGTATGTTTACAAGCGTTTTTAAGTGTGTGCAAAAGGCGTCGAAATAACCCTAAATTCCTCGCCAACTATACAATTGATTTTCTATCGCGTTTTCGCCATTATTTCAGGTTTTTATATTTATGTCGCAATCTGGATCCGGAAGATTTAAATATCTAAGAAAAGTAGTGCAAAAGAGACGCCAATTAGTTCTACGTCGTTATACTCTAGCGGGCAACTCTTTTGTCTCTGATTGCGTTAGCTCTATTCAAGTCTACACTTCGCAAACAAAGGCTTTCTTATTTAAACCGAAAGTCAAGCACTTCAACCATCAGCTTACAGTTCATTCATTGACTAAAACTTTCATCTTATCAGTATCTATCGCACAGTCATATTTATAATTGTACAGACGAAGGGGAAATATTTCCTTTAAGAGTGAGGAAATGGTCGGCTTTGATCAGTAATTATTGCGCACAACAGATCAAGTTGGCGAAGTTTTCATTGAGTTGCACGTTTTTTCCGCCAAAGCCAATATCAATTCTAAAGTGTTGTCTAGGAAAGTGAGGCAGGATAGTGTAAATTATGAAAACGTTTTATTAACGACGGATAAAAACAACTAATCACTCAATTAGCTCCAATTCAAACACTGTGGGCACACTACGTTTGCTACATGACCACACTTTGCCGTTGTCGTTTCAAAGCACTGTATTTCACTCCTATTGTTAGAAAAAGGGACAAAGTCGAATGGGGTGACAATTTTTTTAAACTGAAAAGTGTCTGGAAAAGGTAAAATTAGGTGTTAACGAGGAACGTTGACCCACTTTAAGACACGCAAACGAATGTTAAGAATTTGGCGTTGAAAGAGATTCTTCCACTGCAAATAACCGTAAAATATTTAATTAGTTCCCGTTTGTGTTGATTCTACTACCGTTTAGCCGCACTCTTATTGGTCAATTGGTATGTGTAGATGAGAGCTCGTGAAAACGGTCGTTATGGCGTTTTAGAAAAACGAGTATTTTTGAGATGACGTTTAGATGATCTAGCCTCATCTAAACGTATGGTGGTAGTTGGGGCGAATTATGAAAATCTTGAGAGTTAAGCAAGCCGTCGACTCCGTCTCGACCTTTCACGAGTACCTCGAATCCTTTCAGAAGATGGCTCCAAGAGCGTAACAGTTAAGATGAGTCGCGTAAAGAAGGAAATAGTCCTCTATTCCTTAAATATGGAGCATCTCCTCAATATGTTGAGAGGATCAATTTCTCTAGTTAAGCATCTGAAAGTGGAAAATTGTAAATGAAGATGTTGGTCACATTCTTGTTTAAGAACTTAACTCTCTCACTCCAAAGATCTCAATATTGATATTCTCTCAACTGTTTGCGCCACGTTGCTAAGAGAATTTGTTTTTCAATCAAATGCTGGGTTTCCTTGCTGTTATTTTAATTTCTTCTTTTAGCTGTACACCTTGGAAAGGTCTCTCGTAACATGTCAATATATTGTGCGGAGAAATCCCTTTTTGTTCACCTCTAGGTGTGACATAGTTAATAATGGGACAGACATAAAAATAAAAGGACATTTTTGTAAAAAAGGTGAATCAGAAATTGAGAAGTCAGTACCGCGGGACAAGACAAGAAAATGAAAATAAAATAGAAAGGTTTTAGCATCGTGGGACAGGAAAAAAAAAATGCCACATCCTTGAAGGATTTGAACTCCAGGCAGTTTTAATTTCGTGGCCGAGTACTTATCAATTGAGCTAGAAAGGACTTGTCAATGAGCTTCACTCCCAGACACACTTGTTGGGAAACCTGTAGACCTGACAACTACTCACCAGTCTCTCTCAATAAAGGGGTAAGTTTCTAAAGAAACTGTGGTGCTGCGTCGGTGGGAGAGTATAACAAGGTAATTTGGTTTTATCAACTGAGTGGAAAGTAAGTTGGCCAAAGCTGACGTTTCGAGCGTTAGCCCTTCGTCAGAACAGAAACGTCGGCTTAGAAACTCTTTACGGTGGCCCACTTACATTATCAACTAGGTTGATAAAACCAAATTAGCTTTCAGTCATTCTCAATTTTGGTCTGCAAGATGGCATTGATACATTGGAAATTAAAAACATAGGAAGAGGGAAAAGGGACGCGAGACCGCCATAACCGAGAAACGTCGCCATCCATATGCGAAGTGTCCACATCGTGAGACAAATGACTCTATTTCTCTTTTTAAGTGTCATTTACCATGTTGAATAATCACAACCTAGTTTACGTCATAGCCCGGCGTTGTTCTGGAGAAGTGTTTCAACCAGTTGTCTGGGAGCGTAGATTATTACAAGGTCCATGTGTGCTACATACATTGCATATGGCGCCCACAACATCAGTCTCCACTGATAAATAACAAGTGCGTGCAGGAAAGTAGGACAGAGAATACTGACACAGTACAGGGATTAAGTTTAAATAAAGACAACTAACGTCATCGTTTATGTCATAAAATTGTATACATCACTTTTTTAGAATGTGCATAATGGCAGATAATACTTTTAAGTGCTTACAATGAAAACAAACATGGATGAACTCGTTAATGTTTGTGACATTTGTGGAAATGCGGCGTTAGCTTTCACGTCATCGCCGCCATATTGGAGCAAGCCTTTCTAAATTTATCTTGTATACAGTATTTATATAGTATTTATATCGTTTTTAATTCGTTTACCAACATAAAAAATGCAAGGATATTTTATGTTATGGTTGTCATTACATGCAACTTAATAATATGTAATATCTCAGTGATGTTCTTTAACGATGAGCTATGGAACGATTTATCCATCTCTTGGCACTGATTCACGTGCATCTTCCATTCCTCCATCCCTGGCCATCCTTCATTGTTTATCATTGCCTCTTTTTCGTTTTTCAACCTAACTAGACAGGTATTTTTTTATTTTATCCGAGCTGTGAGTAGTTTTGCACAGCGAAAAAAATTCTAAAATCACATGGTGTTGCTCACTTCTACCAGGCACTCACGAAGCTTCGGTAAGATTTACGTTAGAAACTAAAACGCGAAGAGATGCAGAAACTAACAGGGAGCCAGTGGAAAGTACGGGGGTTCCTATAACGTTTTCCATGAGCGGCTGCCGATTATGTAATAGGCAGCTGCCCCAGAGAGGGGACTTAGGGTGAAACCCAAACACGAGAGCCTGATCGCAAGCTCAACAGACGGCGGTAAGAGGTCTTGTGGGCGGCGGTAAACCAGCGGTAATCGGCTTTTACAAAACACCCCTCCATGAAATAATACCAAGATCAGGAAAGCAACATCTGCTACGTTTTCGGATCCTTTGATCCTGTTTTGTGTCCTGAAATAAAGAAAAAAATATTGAGTTCATAACATTCCTCGAGTTGGTGAAAGAGATACAAATAACGTTCCACAAAAGAATTCAACAAAGTTGGATTTATTTTTTACGTTTTTTCTCGGGTTCTCTGGTCAGTTTTCCTTCAGCATGAGGCAAACACTCCAAATTACACTTTCACCGAGGAAAAGTGGACGAAAAACCATCTCGCAGAAGTGTCACCTTTAAGTTCACATAATTATAAGCTTTGCTGGCCCACTGAAGCGCTACCTACAATTGCGAGCACTCCAAGTTACGAAGCTATGTTATCGCAAAGTAAAAAAATTGGAAACTTATTTTGGAGCTCATTCGCCAATTTGGCGATCTATACTCGGCGGTCATGCTCCGAGCTGTAATTTGTCTATTATCAAATGTTTATTGACTTGTATCAAATTGAGATGGGTATCTGCATAAAATAATATTTCAAAAAACTCGGCCGTTCTTAAAGTTTTAGTATTTCTCTCTTTGTTGTCCAAGAATCAAGCCTTAAGATGTGATCCTCAGGAAACGCTGGAGTTGCAAGTAGATTTCTTTGCCACCAATTCCAGATTTTAGGTCACCACATGGCGCCTTTGAAAGAAGTTGAACTTGGAGCCCTTAAGAATGACTAAGATTCAACTTACCACTGATTCTGGATAAAAACCCAATATTATGAGTCCAGCCATTAACAGTTCTCTTCATGCTCCCAGGCCTCACTCTGGTGCTAGATGTAACTATGGCAGCACGACTGTTGCCTTGCCTCGACCCCAAGGGATGATACAAGTCCATCGCCATGTTATATGACATGGCGGCTGGAGAGGTAGAATCATGTTTTGTGGACCCAGGCTTTCGTTTGAAAGCGTTGCGAGAATTAAAGCCGTTCATGGACGGAACTTTTCGAAGAGGGCGCCCGTATATGTGTATTCCATTTTGTTTCTGTTTACACGAAGCGGAACTCAAAAAGGGCGGTTTTTTCGATTTCTGCTGTTTAGTTCCAGTGGAGATTTTCTCAAACTCGAGTCTATAATGTTTCCTCCACGCCAGTTGAATTGTAAGCGCGGCGACTTCCTTGTTGAGTTCTTCCTGTTCATTTTTTACCTCCGATAATATCACATCGCGTTCGAAACGTTCACGCCTCATCGAGATCCATTTTCTAAACCAACGTTGAATCAATACCGCTGCGTTCACTTTCGAGCGTATTAAATGAAGCCGTTCGCGCTCCCTCCGCGCAAGCTCTGCTTTTGAAATACCGCTGTGTAACTTTTTTGCTGGCGCCAAACGAGGCGGATCATTTTTCGTGACATTAACTCTACGCACAGTATTTTCACCCTCATTTGCGAACGAAAATCCTTCGTCTAATTCGAAGTCTTCTTCCAACAATAACGACGAAACCACTCTCACCATCTCGGCATCATTCTTAAAATGAAATCTGTCTTCGGATTTCCGTCCTGATGATGGACTTTCCGAGGAAGACCAACTTTCATCCACTTTTGCTTCTTGCAGTACATTAGTGACATGTCTTTCTGTATAATCTCGTGGACAAGTATTGTCTGGTAATAGTTTATCTTTACTGGTACTTTCATTTTGTGAATGTCTTCTTTCTTCAGTAAACGGCGGCAGTGCTTCTTCCATATTTTCCTCAGGAAAGTCTTCAGTGAAAACTTGTAAATGTCGTTCATTGTCAAAGGCGTCAGTTTTCGTGAAATCTCTGACAGCACAGAAAAAAAATTCGGATCAATGTTAATAACAAAGCAACTACGCACCTACCTCTCCCCTAACCCAACATTAACCCTTACCTTGTTATCAGTTGACTGTTGTTGAGTTAGGGGAGGGGTAGGTGCGCCATAAAAAAAAATTCCACTGCTCGATACAAAAGGAAAAAAAACTAATAGCTTTAAGCATCTAACACTTAGATCCAGTGGGACGATTTCGCAGATTTGATGCGACTTCGCCAAGTTTTCATCAGCAAAAGTACAGCAAAAGTACAGAAAAAGTAGCTGAGATCTAACTTTCTTTCTTCTAAGAAAGTTAGAAATTATGTTAGCTGCATGCAAAAAGAAACCAGGGCCCCCTTGTTCATAATAGGCGATCCTTGTTTTGGGTTTTTGTCTTGTTCTAAGGCAAACCTGGACGTATGGGAAACACAGCGGCCGATCGGTTAGTGAGTCGAGGGGCCTGGGTTCAACACCAAGCTCCGTTCAAAGTATTGTGTTTTTGAGAAACAGACTTTACTCAGATGGTGCCTCTCTTCACCCGAGAGTATAAATAAACGGCAAACTGTAAGGGAAGTCTCATGAAATGCTGGTGGTGGACTAACATTCCATCCGGGGAGGAGTAGTAATATTCCTAGTCGCTTCACGCTACAGAAACCAGGGATAAACCCTGGCTGAATGGGCCACTTGGCGAAAGTGAAGTCTTGACTTTCACCTTTTTTAACCCTTTAACTTCCAAGATCTCATTAGTAATTCTCCTTACTATCTGCCAAATAATTCTTATTACGCTAGTTTGGAGAACTTGGTATCGGATCAATTAGTAACCCCATAATTGATATTTTTCTTTATTCTCATCACTTGTCTGCTTGATATTGTATAGATATAGTAAGGAAAATTCTGTCTTAATCACTCACGGGAGTTAAAGGGTTGAAGCGACTGGGTGCATTATTACTCACTCTGAATGGGACGATAGTCCATTAATGCTATAGCGTAAATCCTCGTCATTTAAGAGGTCTACACATGAACAGTTTCAGATTATCGTTTCTCTGATAACATCAGCTTCTTTTGTTTGTTTTGATAAGCCTCTTCCATCTACATTTAAAATACCTTGGAGATGCACTACCAGGGGATACGCTGTAAGGAGACTGGTTTCCAAATATGTCCCCAGTCCTTGCAGCACTTGCTCGTTTCTGCCCTTTCAACTGCTCGTGTCTCAAAAACAAATTTTTCTTGTCTTGAAATGCCTTGCGGACAGTGTAACCACGCCAACACTTCTGAACTGTCGTGGCAGCAATGTCCTGGATTCCGTTAATAGTCAAAGCTCCTTGTTCGATCATATACTGTTCAAACGACAAAAAAGAGCAAAATTTTGCGTTCAGCATCAACTTTCTGAAGGATCAATCCCTAATAAATGACGATTCACATAGAGACTTTTGAGCAGCGGAACTTCCAAAATCACTTTTTCCATTTGTCCTGATCAGAACTCTTTGCCGATTAGAAAGTTAGTAAATATTCAGTTAAGCACAAACCAGGGTTTATTGCAAGGCGAAGCTTTGCGGGATTCCGCGATTTGAAAAGAAATGCTGCATAAAACTTACGTCTAGGCGTCAAAAGGGGCGCAAGAAACTGTACCCAAGGATAAGTACTTTTTTAAGGTACTGTTCATTTTTTTAAAGTTAAGCGCTGGAAATAATGATTGACCACAAGCTCTCACCAAGCCTCTCACGGTTTCATTTGCTCTTCTCTTCTTGTTATCTCACTAATGTGACTCTACAAATACGTTTAAGCACCCTCTGAGGTAGCACCCTCTGAGGTAGCACCCTCTAAGGTACCCCATTGTTGAGCCACTTTTCTTGAAAAGGCCCATTGACATTACAGTGGGGAGCCTACAAGGCCCTCTTTGGCCATTTTCTAGAACAAACCCTACAAACCTGCGCTACATCCTGGTGGTCACCAATAATGGCATAGTCGAGGGGAGTCAACCTGGAAGAAAATACGAAAAGGTTGGTAGCTGGTCATTGGACTATCATCTTACCCACTAACATTCGGAGTAATAAACAGTAAGGCCTTTGGAAGGGATACTGCATGGGCAGCCTTCTTTTACACCTCATAGAAAAAGACCGTGGTTTAACATTGAGGGTTGTTGAAAGACTTGAAGAAAGCTGACTATGTTGACCCCACTTTTCCGTGTGAGAAACATAAGGATGAGGGGGTCATTGCGGTTTTTCCTTAAATGTGCACGGTCTTCGAACGCAAGACTATTTCTATTTTTGACGCTTTGAGCCTGGAAAGAAACTGAATTTACCACAATGTTACAATCCTTATTTAGTGAACCCCCAGCCTACCCCCCTCCCCCACAATATTTTCCAGTTGGCCCGTAACTATAACCTACCTGTCAGCGTTCGACTCTTTGAAGTTAGGGAAGGCCTTGTATCTTAGCAACAGCTTGACAGCATCCAAATGCCCGGATGCACAGCTCCAGTGCAGCGCAGTAATTCCGTCGTTGTCTTGGTGATCAACTTCGGCACCATGCTCCATTAACACCGTCATAAACTTCACGAATCCTCCATGAGCGGCGCACTGCAGCGGAGTACGACTACAAAACACACAAACAAACCGTTACGCAAGAGCTCTTTAGAGATTTCCAGGTCTCGAACCCAGACCTCTAGTCTATCGCAACTCCCACGTCATAACGGATGAGAAGGTTTAGGAGACTGGTGTGTAGGAGACATTCCAACTTACCCCAAGTGATCTTTAGTGTCCGAGGGCACACTCTGCTCTATCAGAGCGTTACATATGGGTGCATGACCCCCGAGAGCCGCCCAGTGAAGCAGTGTACGACCATCTTGATCTTCCAAGTTGACAGTGGCACCATCTACAATGAAGGGGTTACGGACATTATTGAATGGAGTCATGATACAACAGGTAGCATATACTTGAAAATCGGGTGAGCTATTAAAACGATCTTTAAGTTAAGGTAAGATCGGACAGGGAAATCTGTAAGCGCCTTTTTGGGAATGAGAATTGGAAATAAGCTAACTCAAATTATCTATGATTTTTGTCCGCTTGCAATTAAATACGTTGACAACGCAAAAGCAACAGGTTTGATGAGGAGATTCACATTTCTGAAATTTTCATATTTCTGAGAAAGCTCGGGCGTTCCAGAATTGTGAGAATGGAGCAATTAAAGGGCCAGAATAAATGAAAACTTAAAGAGTTTCAGGAATCAAGGGAGATACTGCAAGACAATCTTTGATTTCCTTCAAGGAAAGAGCACAGTAATAAATAAAAGCGCAAGAAATTATACGGTCAAAGCTGAACTTACGCAGAATCAAATTGTTGACAACTTCAGTGTGTCCCATCTCGCATGCGCGAAATATGGGTGTGTGCTGAAGCATGTCCAGTGCATCAACGCAGGCTCCAAATTGGATCAGCAGCTTGACACAGTTCACGTGACCAGAGTAGGCAGCCGAATGCAGCGCTGTTCCTCCCAATTTGTCTTTGGCGTGCACGTCTAGGTTATGTTCTAACATTGTCTTTAAAGCACTTTCACTTCCTAGTGAAATTGAAATGAAGCACTATTGGCGTGAAGTGAACAGCCTTGACTAGAATAATAGTTATCGAAGGTGACTGGTTATGGAAGCCGGAAATTTCAAATCGAGTGTCAACAGCAATGTAGCATTGCATTATTTTGTCTCACTACGCTCTGATTGGTCAAGAAAACCAGCATCCTACTCTAAAATCCAAACAGTTGCAACAATAAAACCTATCACGACTTGGTTACCCGCGTTTTCCCGCGCTTAACACCAGTTACACGCGTTTGATCTGTACTCTCATTGGTTCCTTGTGATGCTAACCTCCGTCCTGATTGGCTTCCGGGATGAGTTTGGTTTTAGTTTTATGACACTTCCTCGAATTACGCTTTAAATGAGAAACTAACCTTTCCCTGCAGCCCACATGAGAGCAGTTCTTCCTTCATTATCAGGAATATCGTTGACTTTGTCGAAAGACAGGAACACTTTGACCGTTTCACAATAATTGCTCTGAGCCACGTAATGAAGAGCAGTAGCCCCATTGCTGTCTGCAGCAGTGAAATCCGCATTTCTCTCCAGTAGCATTTTCACTAACTGAGAGTTGCCTGAAAAATGAATTTCCACGTAGAGAATTAAATTTCAGAACTTGGAATTTATTAATACCATTATACTAAAAGCAGCCAATATGCTATTTTCAGTCCACACGTATTCCATCTCATAGAAGGGTTTATATGAACTATGAATAAACCGTGATACCTGTAATTGAATTAGCTTTATATTCGATAACTCTCGAGTTTTACTTTACCCTACTTTTGTTTCCGTTTACAGATCTCTTAGACGTTTCTACGTGACAGCGGTTTTCTCTTATGTCTTCTTTTAGAATTTAAGGCGGGAAATTGGCGCGCGGCCGGCTAAAAATTGGTCCCCTTGCGCATGCCCTACGTTTGACTGCTGTGTTCGCTCTATCCTTCAACCAACCTAACACCGCTGCCCAGTGTAGAGGTGACCGGCTCATGTTGTCTTGGGCTGACACTTTACACTTGTCAAGAGCCAGCAACACCTTAACAGCTGCCTCATTCTGCTCTGCCACAGCAAGATGCAGAGCAGTCCTTCCTTCATTGTCCTGATGGTTGATGATATCCGAGTTTGCTTCCTAGGAAACGAAGAATCAATAACATTTCAGTCATGAAGTAGCTAATATGATAAATAGGGTAGCTCTAATGTCAAAGCCTGTTGATGAATTTTTTAATAAATGACCATTCAAATGAAAGCTCCTAAGCAGCTCGTTCGTCTGTTGAGTATCGAAATTGATCCTAGTTGCTTTCAATTGGTTTTTCTTTCCTTCGCTCTATGATTTGTCTAAAAACCTTCATCACCATCTTAACTAATCAGATACAAAAGGAAAACAAATCCAATATTGGATACTCGCATTTTCCCGTGCTTCGAGCAGGTTACCTGTTTTTATTTTGAGTTCCCATTGGCTAACGATGATGTTCCCTTTGCTCTGATTGGTGATTGTTTTTCGACATTCAGTTGAGAAATTTGTCTGTTCTACTGCCCAAGGAGGTCCTGACTTTTAATTATTTTGATAATATTCCAGAGTGTGGTCATTCAAATTACCAGAAGTGCAAGGACAAGATTGTGGATGAAAGTTTCCGTGCCCAACCATCCAGGTGGGGGAGAGGGGGGGAGGGCATTTGTTTGTCATCTATAGTACCTTAATTGCACCCTTTTCACTTCAACCCTTTAACCCCTGCAAGTGACTGGCATCTAATTTCTCCTTACCATATCACCCCTGAATCAAATATTAAGGTCAAGAGAATAAAGTAAAAGATCACCAACTAAAGAAGCTCTTGATTGTTAAACAAATTCTCCTTGTCTGCACCTTTGTAAATGTATAGAGAACAGTAAAGAGAATATGCATACTGATATTTGGGTGTAAAGGGTTAACCTTCTCCTGTGATAGGTAGTTCTCCAGATGAAGCCTTCCCACCAGTCCACCTTTATATTTCTTTACTTTACATGTCTAATCATATATGAATTCAAGTTATGCAAGATTTCTTACCAAAATGAGTTTCACAACAGCAGGATCTGGATTTGTTATTGCCCAGTGAAGAGGTGTCCTCTCTGGAAAGTAAATTAATAAACATCATTAATCTTTGTAAATTAGTCTCTCTTTAAAGGTTCCAGTCCATTTAATGATGGTAACAGGACTGAGTGGAGTCCAATTTGGTCTGTAATCATATGAGTGATTGACAAAATTGGACCACCACGAGGCGTGAGTCCAATTTGTCAACCACTGGTATAATTACAGACAGATTTGGATGACACGACATCCTATTGCAAATTAATCACAACCATTACAATTTCTGTGAAAAAATACATCTAGAGCAAATATCTCCTATGGAAACAATGTATAAAGCTAAAAATTCCTTCATTTTGGATGCCCAGTTTTTCTTGCGATAAGTGGTTGTTACTAGGGTTATTGGGATCAATTCTGTGATTGGTGGATTTAACTGAGTGGACTGAGTACAATTGGCTGCTTCAACTATCCCATTACAGGTGTCCGGTTCCAGCCAACTGTCTGATTACACTGTTGGATTACAACTGTACAGAATGATTAGTGAAAAATAAAGCAGTTAGTGCACCAATCACATTTGAGGAAATTGTAATGGTTATTATTAAATAGTTATTATTAAATAGTTACTCATTCCTTCCATTTTCTAATGAGAAACTTCTAGACCCTGCAAAAAAAGTTGTCATTTTTTTGCGCTTTTTAGGCAAGCAGAGGCATGAGCAAAGAGTAATTAAATTCATGTGCTCTTCATGCATTCACCTCACACTTGCCTCCACTCGCCAGAAAAATGCAGAAAAATGACCCCTCTTCTGTAGTAAATTGTTAATGAACCCAATTCTCTGTAAATTAAACGTCCTGATCCAGTGTTTGTTGGAACATACTTTCCAAGTCAGTAACGGTCACAGAGCATCCTGCCTTTAGCAATAGCTTGACATGCTCAGCATTCCCATAAGACACACTCCAGTGAAGAGATGTCATCTCATCATTATCTGGTTCATCTGCTTCGCCCTTAGGGACTCGCTTCAGTAAGATGCTTAAGCACTGAAAGTATTTAGAAAGAAAGAGTTAAAATAAAAAATCAGATAAACTAGTTAGGGAATTCTTCTGGTCACAGTTCTTTTTGCTGCGAACAAATTTCAGATTGATTAAATGTGTACAACGGGGGAGGGCAAGAAGACCATTAATGTACATAAGCACCCTCAAAAATACTAATAACATCGATTTTGGAAGATAAACATACATTAAATTTTACTTGAAAGATTATTTTTTGTTTTATTTAAGTGGTTCCACTCTAAGTGACCATTAAACTTTAACTCCCATGAGTGACCAAGACAGAATTTCTCCTTACAATATCAATACAATATCAACCAGATAAGTGATGAGAATAAAGAAAAATAACACTTTGAGGATAATTAGTTGATCCAATAGTAAATTCTCTGAACTAACATTATAAGAATTGTATGGATGACAGTAAGGAGAATAACAAATTTGATCTGGAAGTTTGATGGTTAACAAAAGTTCGACTGTAGAACAAAAAAAAAAATCAACAGCAACAAAGATGGCAATGACAAGGAGTAGTTGACAAACCTTGGGTGATTGATGGCTTGTGGCAAAATGGAGTGGAGTTCTAAAAAGTGGCAGACAGATTTTTATTTTGTGGTTTTAAATGAATTTTAAGAAGAAGATGAGTAAACATGAAAAATGGTCATTTATATAAAACACAAATTCAACTCTATTCATTTTAACACCCACATGTCACTTACAGGACAAGGTGCCATGGCCTAACACAAAGTTTTACTTCCCATCAAGGTGACTGGGAATAAAAGAAATTGCAAGAATCAGGCTAACATTACTTAAGAGTTGTAGAAAACATTGAAATTCAAGAGTATAAAAATTTCCCTGCTCTCCTCAAAAATCTACAAGTCTTTTGGTTTCCCATAAACTTCAATAAATTTCCTTGATAGAAGTAAATTTTAATATTTTTTCTGTAAATTTGACCTCCGTAAACAAACATGTGTGTTTTCCATTCAAGATTAAAGTGATTTTACTAAACCTTTTTCAATTTTGGATAACATGTAGGAACATCCACTTAACAACTTTTAGCCATAAACTAAAACTTTAAGGAAAGAAAATCTTCAAACATCTCCAGGTTTCAGAAATTTTTAGAGATTGGCAAAGCTGGAATTATTCATTATACATAGTATTTCCTAGAGTGACCTATATTAGGCTACCTAACCATGTTCGCAAAAATATAAAAAGGAAATCAAAAAGAGATGTGATCAGAATTATTCAAAGATTGTTCTGAAGATGCTACACACCTTCCTTTGTTGTCTTTTACTTTCCAATTTGCTCCTTTAGACAGCAGTAGTTTTACACACTTCACATTTCCCTAGGTGTAAAAATAACAGGCTAATTATCAACTCATCATTCTCTGAAAAATTACTGACAGAGGAGAACATAAACCATATATGCTGTTGCTTAAAGAGAGATGTAGGGTACTTTCACCTTATCATGAGAGTGGGAGGTAGAAAAAGAATTCCTGAATTCCTCTGCAGAATCAAATCTTAGCCCTTAATCACCTTAACCCTTCAATTCTCATAAGTGATCAGGAAAGAATTTCTCCTTACAGTATCAACACAATATCAACCACATAAGTGATGAGAATAAAGAAAAATATCAATTTTGGGATAATTTGTTGATCCAATACTAAATTCTCTGAACTAACATTACAAGAATTGTATAGTGATAGTAAGGAGAATTACAAATTTGATCTAGGAGTTAAAGGGTTAAAAAGATAGAAGAAACTTACCTATCTTGTAACAGAAGAGAGGAGGCTTGTGTGCAACAAAGAAAGAGTAGAGGAACATACTTAGTTGTCCCTACTTGAAGCACTACTGTATCCCATTTTCAAGCTAACAGTTAACCAACCCTAAATTACCTACTCTGCCTTTTCAGCATCTCCCAGCTACTAAAGGAGGCCTCAATTTTAAAACCAATCTGTGAGATTCTTTCTGGTAACCTATTCACCCCATGCAAACGATTACATTCAGATTTTTACCACATTGTACCTGGTATGCAGCCCAGTGAAGTGGTGTTCTACCATCCATATCACAAGAACCAACCTATGATGTAGACAAAATCCACACACAAAAAAAAAGTTGTATTCTAAATATCATATCAACTAATAATAAGCCTTAATGAGCACCAATCTCCTTAAAAAAAAAATTTCATAATCCTCAATGTTCTCCTTTTCAGGCAGTAACCAGTAACATTTACTGTCTGTAGTATCTCTTTTTTACCATTTAAAATTGCTTGGAATTCTTGAAAATTCAACAGGTAAAAGGATTGCTTTACTGGTTTGAAAATTTAATTTACCTGTCATGCTTAAAATAAGGGAGAACACTGAATCCTTCCTTTTCCCTTCCCCTGGACCACAAATAGTAAAACCGCAAAATGTAATGGTAAAGGGAGTGTATCTTACCTATAATCAGAGCCCTTCAGTCAAACTGTTGGATTTTGAAATGTTCACTTCCTGCCATTTTTTTCTGTTGCTGTAAGTTGTAATGTGTGATTCTTGTGGTCCCAAAAATATCTCTACCCACTTGAAAATGTTATTTGAAAAGAAAATTCCAACCACACACCTTCCCTACCCCTGGGAAGAGCTCAAAACCAAAAACATCCAGGGAGGGGTATAAGATGATTTCTAAAAAAATATGCTTTGTAAGAATGAAACTGAATCTAGGCTTACTAATCTTACATTGCCTCCAGCTTTCAACAACAGCTCTGCACAGTCAAGTCTGTCTCCCAAAACACTGTAGACCTGTGGAGATAAAGTCACAAAGTTTAAACTTCTAACTCCCAAGATCTGATTGTTAATTCTCCCCTCTAGCTGCTACACATTTCCTTGTAAATAAGTTATGAGAATTTGGTGTCAGATTGAGATATCAACTTCAACCTGATAAGTATGAATATTCTCATGACCTGTTTCATGGATAATGTTTAGATATTATAGGGAGAAGTTACTTGTTAATCACTACTGGGAGTGATTTCTCAAGTATTGTGATAGATTCATTTCATGATGAAAGAGGGGGATGTTCCTAGATGTAGACCTACACTAAGTAGCTTGAATTTTTAAAGGAATTCTCCTCATCAGTACTAAAGGAAATTTGTAGGAAAGATAATTTACAAAGAATATGGATACTGATGTTAGAGTGTACAGGCTTAATCTAATTATTCAAAGATTCTCACCAGAGGAGTGCGGCCAAACTGGTCTCCATTATTGATAAGACTTCTTTCCTCTAACAAAAAAGAAGACTTATTTCAATTTATTGAATGAACCTTTGATTAAAATTATTATTAACAAATCAATTGTTGCCATCATCCTCCACTTCACTTCAACCTTGTTAACCTTCTTGATGTGGCTTTTCATTGCACTGCCGTTTACCAACTGGTTGTACTCAGGTAGTAACCCATTGGAAGCCCTTCAATTTAAGAACACTGGGAGGTTTTATCAGGACATACATAGACAGAGAATTATTGTCAATCACCTTCTTGCAGTAGCCTTTGAAGAAGAGACTTGTTTCCATTCACAGCAGCAGCATGCAAAGGGGTTGGCAAAACACCTACAGAGCAATTATTTGCGAAAAAACTCAAAAGTCTGTATCTTATCTTTATTGTCACCTATTTTACTCAAGGTTCTTGTTATCAGATAGCCATAGCAATAGATCATGACCCAGTTTGGGAGCCAATTGTTTCACTCTTCATTTCATTTTAATTTGTCACAGCTACCTTAACTTCAGGTTGGGCAGATGCCTCCATCTCCATCAAATCCTATCAAGGACTTGATAACTACCAGACTCAATATACAAATTCATATAATTCCCCACCCCTTCCCCCACCAGAAAAAAAAACCTTATGTCAAATATGTCTTTTCTGTTTCCTTGACCTTGAGACAAAGTTTGGATCAAAGTATCTGAGCACCTACACACCTACTCCTCCCCTATCCCAACAACAGTCAACTGATAACAAGTTAAGGTTAAAGTTGGGTTAGGGGAGGGGTAGGTAGGTAGGTGCAAAGTTGCTTACATTCTGACATTGATTGGAAGTTGCAAACAATGAAATTAAGAGTACTGCTGATAACACAATTGCAAAACAAAACAACTATATTTGTCAAATACTTATTTCTCCTTGGGCAATCGCTGAAACAAAGGCAAGTATAAAGTGCATTCATTTACCATCTTGTGATGAACCAGACTGAACATGACTTTCAGAGTTTAGTGCCAGATTTTCATCATCCTGAAAAAAAAAATTTTAAAACATTTAACCAGTTGTGGGCTGTACATTCCTGTTGAAACAGAAACTCTTTTTTTGCTTCTTGCTTTGGCTATCAAAATAAATACCTTAAATATCTCAGCCACTTTCATCTTGATAAAAAAATGATTGGGTACTTTTGAAAAAAATTTTATCAACTGATGACAACAGGAGAAAAGGCAATAGAAAAATACAATGAATCCAATCAAATGAAAAAAATTTGAAATCTTGACCAATAATCATGGAAGGAAATTACATTTTTCAAGTCTAAATATTTGCAAAACACACTGTCAAGCAATATTTAAAATGATATTGCCTGCCAAAGGCCTGACAAACCGTTAAAAACACGACTTGCTTCTGACACACAAACTAAACATTTCCATTTGCAAAAACAGAACATTAGATTGAAGAAAAAATAATGTCTTAATGAAGAATGTTTCCTATTAATTAGAGATTAAGAAGAGAATTGAAAAGTCTCAAGTACAACTACATCCTTGTTACCCAAATGGCAATATCAAATTTGGCACAGCGAGGAAGACTTTCCTGTTATCATAAACATAATTTTTGTCCACTAAATATCGTCACGTCGACCGAATTATTGATTCATAGGCACCTTTTTGAAATACAGAGTATTCCAGGAGAACACATACGGAAGAGAGAATAGATAATTTATAATTACATCTATATAATTATATAGTAGGAGACCAAATTGCTATTATGGTGAAAAGGTTCGTCAAAACTTGTTTCCTATTCATCCAAGCACTAATTTCTTTGTATTATAAAAGAAAAACTGTCAAATCAATACATAGGTTGAAACACCTGTGTTTTATTTAAGGCTTTAAGGGTGATTCCACATCAAAAAGAACATGGAATCAAGGTTACTTGTACATCCTATCAGACTACGATCTGGACTCGATCGAATCTCACCTAAAAAAAGCGATTTTGAGTATCTTTCACAAAAATAAAATGGTAAGGTACTATTTCATTCCATACTTACGCTTTCATTTGAAGTCATTGGTGCAGTCTCAGGAAAACGAACAGCATAGTTCTCTTCTTTGGGTACGAGTTATTCCGTGATCGATCATCAAAACACATGTTCAATACAGAATTCAAATTGTTGGGGTTCACCGCTAATTCACAGCAATCGCTTTGATTAGATTGCACGCCATGGCAACATGAACGTCAAATTAAACATTACCGTACTATAAATCTCTAAAAAATTAATGAGTTCGGATTGATCAAGGAAACGCTGTCCTTCTAGAAAAAAATCTTCGAAAGAAGTGTCAAAAAATGTTTACAGATCAAAACTTAGATTATTTTCTACCCATGGAGTCTGGGTATGAATTTTTCGACGCATGCGAAAATGAATACTTCCGCTTCCTGTAAACACGACGCGAAGAAAACGAACGTCAAATTTTCAACATGGGGGGAGGCGATTTGGTAAGTTTCAAGTTAAAATACCGAGCGATCGAGCTTCTATGAAGTATTTTTGAGAATATTTTAATGGAAATTATTTGTTATTTGACTCTTTTTTCTGTGTTAAACAGAATTTGAAGAAGAGCTGGCATCCACAAACGTTACGAAATGTGGAAAAAGTGTGGAAAGCAGAGCAAAAGGCTGAAGCGGAGGCGAAAAAGATCGACCAGCTACGAAAGGAACTGGAGGAAGAGAGGGCTAGAGAAGGGATGCAGAGACATGCAGTGGAGCAAGGAATAGCTAAGTGAGTGAAGGGATAGAAGCTACAGATGTAACTGATTTCAGAGAAAAGGGCTAACTGCATGAAAACTCCTACTGCTACCAACTTGTTCAAGGGTTAACTCCCAAAGTGATCAAATGTAACCTACCCTCACAATTTCAGTAGGTTACTCTTCAAGCAAGTGAGGAGAATAGACAGACTTGACAGTTTTGCTAGACTATCTTAAAATAACATGAAATTATCATAACCTATTTACAAGAAAGTGTATAGCAGCTACAAGGAAGATTTGCCAATAATATCTTGGTGTAAATCTACCATTGTTTGTCCACAAATGGAGCAATCTGATTGGCCACGCTACCTGCTCTCACTTCCTTGGTAGTAAGGAAAGTGAGTAACCTAACAGAATTTTAAAATAAAAGTAAAATGAAAACATGAGGCTGTCTTGTTAAATTCGGAAAAAGAGGAGATATATATTAACACAATGAAATGTTTTTCTCTTGATTTTTATAGGTGATAGTTTCTTGGTGTGTCAATCCTATCAACCATCATGCTATAAGAATCTCCAGATCAGGATCTAATTTGTTAATTATCCCTTATGGTAACTTTTTTTATCTTGTAATTACTTATCAGGAAAAAAGGAGAACGTCTTGATTGGATGTATGCTGCAGCTGCAGGCCAGGTGGATCGTGAATTGTATCTGCTGGGAAAAGCTGTTGATAAGGCAGTAGACCCCATGGCACAGGATGATGAAGAGGTGTGTGAAAAACTTGAAGCTATGGTTTACAATGCTCAGAGAATGGTACAAATTTTGATCAATTAGAAAGCATCTATCATATTTCTTTGGTCCTGCAGCACAGCTGGAACAGTTTTGACTTTAAAAACTGTGAGAAATCCAAAATTCCAAAAGCCAAAATTATGTTCGCTTGATGAATGCCTTTTTTTCTTCACCTTGTGAAATTCACTTGTAGCCGGCTCTTAGCAACACCCCTATATTTGAATTATTTCTAAGGCTGTCAGTAGGAAATTAAATAGATGTATGATCTGATCTGAGTCAACAACTTATACAAGCATTGTATTTGTGTAGCAAGCATTGCATGTTGCAAAACAACACAGCCTTCCATGAGGGCCAGGGTTTGTTCCCCCAGAAAAATTAAAAATTTTTATACTCTCTGAGTTATGTTTTCCAGTATTCTGAGACATATTTGAGTAACTTTTTTTGGTCAGAAATTGATGTTAGAATCAGTTCAAAAATACTCATTTTTTGTCTTAGATCTCACAATTCACAAAATAGCAAGCACAAATGATCTCACTGCAAGCAGCTTTCTTCTGCTTACTAGCTTCTAAAGACAAACCTGTATTTCTGTTGCAGGAATCATCTGCCCCAGGTGCCTCTTTCATGAATGACACCGCTGCCAACACAGCAAATGACTTGGCAGCTAAGGTGCGAGACGATCCACTGTTTCTGATCAAGAAGAAAGAAGAGGAGAAAAGGAAAGAGCTGATCAATAATCCTGTGAAGATGAAGCAGTTAAAACAAATGCTTCAAGCTAATTTGGAAAAGTCAAAGAAGAAGAAGAAGAAGAAAGATAAGAAAAAGAAAGGTAAACGAGAAAGAGAGGAAAAGAGAAAGAAAAGGCATGCTGACACAAGCAGTGAGTCACAAGAAGATGAAAGGGAAGTGACACCAGAAAATGGGAAAAAAAGAAATGGTCGAGACAGAAAAAGGAGTTGTGATACAGATGAGAATTCGAGAGAAATGTTGAATGGAAAGAAAAAAAGGAGAAAGGAGAGACACAGAGATAACAGTGATGACTCAGAAGAAGATGTGGGAGACAGAAAAAAAGAAAATGAGAAAAAGAGATCAGTGGAAAATGGAAAGGATGCAATGAATGGTTTTCACCGGGATCAGCAATATTCACAAAGGTAAGTTGCTGATTTATGAAAAGCAGTTACATCTATTATCTGTTCTCCCATGGACCCTGTCATCTGTCTGTTTTATTAAGTGTAGGTATTTTTTACCAGAAATTACCTCTTGGTCTCTCCTGGGGGTGAAAGGGCCAATCAGTCAGAATACTGCGGTAATTTTTCTTAGAAGGAGAATGTAATAAACCAAATTCATCTGGCTTCAGACTTTGCTAAACCCTTTACACCTAAACACATTAGTATTCATATTCTCCACACTGTTCTCTTGACATTTTCTTTATTACTGACAAAGAGAATTTGTTTTATGATCAGGAGCTTCTTATCTGGAGATCATTTCCTTTCTTCTCATGACCTTAATCTGTGATTCAGGGGTGATATTTTAGGGAGAAATTAGATGCTAGTCACTATTAGGGGTTAAAGGATTAGGAAAATTCACTCAGCAGTGGATGATGATTATGATGATGATGATAATAATAATAATAATAATAATAATAATAAAGAATTTATATAGCGCTTAAAACTACATTGATGTTTATAAACTAGAATTGATCCCTTCCTAAAACGAAATGTTCTAAGTTGTTTCTTTAAAGTAGCCAGGCTGCTACAGGATCTGATTGGTAAGGGCAACAAGTTCCATAAGAGCAAAGGCACGATCCTCATGAATGAGACTTTTTGCATCCAGATTAAGGCTAAAATATTTTTCCTCTTTGTATTTTCCTACAAAGGAGAAGAATTGATGATGAGAATGAAAGAAGGGCACACAGAAATGGAGACCATTTCTCCTACAGGCACAGGTAATGAAGGAATTAAATTTGTTTTTAAACATGGCACCAAGCTCAATTTTTTTCAAACCGGCCATTTGGCGACCTCAAAACATTAAGTAGTGGCCAGGAAAAGAAAAAAAAACTTTGTGGAATATTAAATGACGTACTTAATCTTTGACCACACTGCTGTCTTTGGAGTTGGCAGGAGAGTTGTTTCTTTTTTGTTAAAAGTTTATCTCAGTTTGAGTCTAGACCATAAATCTTAGTTTTGACATGTCACAAAGTTACAACTTGCTAAATGACCGGTGAACAGTGGCCTCGAATTTGGTGACTTACGTTGTAAATTTGGTCGCCAAATTTTTTTTTCTCCATCGTGACCAAAACTTCCGCGGCAGAGACAAATTTCTTGTGTAGTAAATGCGTTACACGGCTTATATCTTTAGATCTCCCATAAAGCGAAAGCCTCGAATGCGGTCTCGATCAAAATCACCACAAGGCAGGAGAGGAGATGGGAGGAGAGATGACAGAAGAGATGACAGAAGGCATAGACGAAGCCCGTCATCTTCGCCATCAAGGAGCAGAAGGAATAGAGTCCCATCACCGGTGGAGAGAAGAAGGCGCTCTCCCTCACCATCTCCTCCTAAGAATTCACGGAGATCTCCTTCACCGCGCGGAGCAAAACCATGGCAGAAAAGGGGATCAGCAGTTACAAAGTAAGCCATGATCAATTCATTAACTTTCATCTACAGATCAATCAGGATTATTCTATACAAAAAACGCACTTTTTGTTTCTATCCCAACATTTAGCTTCATAGCTCAGTTGGTTCATTTTTAAAGGCCAATCAGCGCGGCCCATTGATGTTTGCCGTTGTTTATCTTCGGCGTCTTCTGCATCAAGCACCAAGGAGTGTGTGTAGCCTATCGCAATTAACTCTTCCCCCCCTTCCCTCCCATTATTTTGTCCAGTTTCGCTGACATTTGGCTGGTAGTCGGTTATACTCCTAGGTGACTCTGAAAATAAAGTTTCTTGCTCAAGAACACAGCACAATGACCTAGCGAGGGCTATTTTCGTATTCTCTTTTCGTAGTAAATGAACAGATCGGAGACCTCGAATTTTAATTTCCTATATTTCTTTTTCTCATTCGAACAGACGTATGGACGATGATGAGAAACAGAAGCGGCTTGCCGCCATGATGGATAATGCTAAGTACGTTTTATTTAACCCTTTATTTAACTCCCAGAAGTGACCAAGGCAGAGTTTCTCCTTACAATATCAATACAGTATCAAGCATATAAGTGATGAGAATAAAAAAAGATATCAATCAAGGGATTATTAGTTGAACCGATACCAAATTCTCCGAACTAAAATCATAAGAATTGTAAGGTCGACAGTGAGGAGAATTACTAATGAGATCTTAGGAATGAAAGGGCGAACTTGTTTACCTTAGAAATTTGTTTCCTTTCTCAGCCTTCCTTTCCTTTAGTTACAACTTGTAGAATGCTTTTCTATCGAGTTTTGGAAAACCAAAGCCAGAGTGTCAATGAAAATTCCGAGGAAAAACGAACGAATGACCTAAAGTGCGGGAAAACGCGAGTTATCAAGTGTTGATTGGTTGTAGTTGTGTATCTGATTGGCAGTTAGGTTGTCGCGAGGTTTCCAAATCAATCACAGAGAGTAGAGCGGTTTTTAATTGACTGTTCTGATACCAAACGAGAGCAATCACACGTACCAATCAGAAAGGTAAACATCGTCGTTAGCCAATGAGGAAATGAAGAAAATACAGATAAACTGCTTAAAGCGCGGGAAAACGCGGGTGACCTAGTGATGATTTGTTTTAATTTTGCGTCCGAGTGTTTGAGATGATGGCTTGAGTTTTCTTGACCAATGTTAAAGCGAAGTAAAGTATCTCGGATTACTT